GTTAGCAGCCACAGATGGTTAAAACTAAGGGACTCTTAGCTCAAATATTACCCTCACCTGCTGCTGCAGTTTGAGGACAGAAACTGTGTTTAAGATGGATTCAAACCACTAAGGGCTTTAGAGATCAAAGCTAGCACCTTGAGCTATACCAGGAAGGAAACAGGAAGCCAGTGCAGTTGCTTATGAGCCCAGTATCTTCCCGATGCTGACCCTGCTAGGCAGGTGCACAGCTGCATCAGCTTTAGCTTCTGAGTGCTTTTCAAGTGTAGCCCCGTGAACATCTCATTATAGCAATAGATCAAGAAGTCACAAGAGGATGGATCACAATGGCAAGATCCAGACCCATGACAAAGGTCACAGATGTCTAACCAGACACATGAAAGGTGCATTTATAGGGATATCCTTTCCCCAAAATCCTCCAACTACCTGCTACTGAATCTACTCATTATAGCTATGAGACATCTGTGATCCTGGAGGTACATGTAACTGATCATAAACTAACAATGCATTGCAACAGCCTCAAGTTTAATACCGCTCTTTTTTTTGCCTTGCAGAAGTCAACCTCGGGACACTAATGTCCTGTACCTTGTGTGGACAGGTAGCAACTTGCAAACCCTTAAGCTCCCCGTCATGCAATTTCTTGCTCCAGCCAAAAGTATTCATCTTTACAGGCAGGCCAGTCAAATCACATTTCTTACCTCTAGTTCCTGAGCATTCAGTCCAAAGAGGGGAACAGAAGGGTAGTGGTGGGTATATTGGGTGGGGATTAATTGTCATTAATTAGTTTATACCTTGAGCATGGGAAGGGGAGGATAACACTTCTATAGTGAGTGCTTTTCATCCTCAAAAGTACTAAGGCTACGGAGGCAAAGTCCACAAATAGCCTGCATTTCTTATCAGACACTCAAGCACTTTCAAAAGCATAATTTGCAAAGGCACATATGGTATAAAAGAAATCATGAATTGGACACACATACTTGTAGGACTTCTAAAGTTGTTCTGAAACCCTTGTATAACCCAATTCATCTGTATTTCCTTCCTGAAATCGTGTATCAGTTTGTTGGCTGATTAGTGTATTCAACTGGCAGGAAGGATTACCTGTAACTTGAATGACATAGTAATGAACTTTGCACGTGTAGGATGAAATCTTTGCTGAAGTCAATAGGAGTTTTGCCATTGGCTTTATGGGGCCAGGATTTCACTCTTACTATTAAGCAAATATAGAGGTAGCAGCTCACTAAGTGTAACATTTTAGTCAGCTGTTTTCCCTTTCTCCTTTGCTACCACTTAAAATGTAAACGATTTCTGCACTTTCCAAAAATTGTTAATTATAGTTCTGAACAATTGTTTACTGGACTGTACCAAAATCTAGGACTGTACTAGCAAACTATATAGGAAGGGTGCGTTTAAAAGTAGTGAAGAAGCAAACTAGAAAGAGACAAGAAACAAAAGCTAAATATGTTTCTTAGACTCATCATGAGGGCTACTTTTGCAAACTGTAACAACCTTAACTATAGTGGTGTTAACTCCCCCTGACCCCACGAAAACCACACACACTATCATTAAGATCATAGAAATTGTTCATAGCTTTAAACAATAAAGGAAGCAGGAAGGCAAAGGAAAAGCATGTGGATGAATGGCAAGGCAAAAGAGTTTGCTCAAGCAAAAAATGCACCCTTCAAAAATTTTTCACCACAGATAGTGATCCTGAGGAAGATAGCTATCCCAAAGCTTGTCATTGAAGGTAATAAAGAAGAGGCACTGTCAGGGATTGAGGAGTTAAAGGAGACATACTTCCCAAGAACAAACTGATAATTCAGTGGGGGAGCAAGATCAAACCCTTAAAATCCAATCTCGGTGGAGCCAGGTGGTGTCAATCAAGGAATACTGAAAGAATTAAAGAGAGTGGTTGAGCTGTTAAAAAAAGAAAAGAAATGTACTCTCCACTACAGTAACTAATTTTAATGAGGGTAGTCTCTATTGTACTGACAGATATTTTGAAAAAGATGCTTGGTTGATCTTGGAAATCACATATTTTGTGAACTTTAGTTCAATACCAGGTACATTAGTGGAAACCATAATTAAAGACGGTTATACAATAGACAGAAGAGCATGATAGGATATTTACAAACAGCACAGCTACCGTAAAGGAAAATCATGCCTTTCTAAGCTATAATTTATGTGGACTTTTATAGAAGATATGACAAAGCTGATCAGAACCTATTAAGAAAGCAGTCATCCAGTGAGAAGCAAACTTTTGTCTTGATTAGAAACTTGTGAATAGATGGAAAACAGGGTAGGAATATATTGTCAATTTTCAACAGGGAAGGAGGTTAATGGTAAGGTATCCCACGGAATCGTACTAAGACTGTATTATTTAATATGTATTACTTATCTGAAAAATGAGGATCAGGAGGACAACAGAAGTGGTAAAATTTGCAAATGACCATTATTTAGGTCACACAGAGAGAAGCCTGCAAGGAACTTAGAATATCAGGGCTGGAAGGGACCTCAGGAGGTCATCTAGTTCAACCCCCTGCTTTTCAAAGCAGGACCAATCCCTAATTTTTGCCCCAGATCCCTAAATGGGGCCCCCTCAAGGATTGAACTCACAACCTTGGGTTTAGCAGGCTAATGCTGAAACCACTGAGCTATCCCTCCCCCTTCAGAGGGCCCTCACTAAGCTAGCTGAGAGAACATTATGATGGCAGATGAAATTCAATATGGACAGTCCAGAACAGAATCAGAGGGAAATTTCTATCTACTGCATCAAGTCCACAACTTTCTACAAACCCTTGGAGATATCCCATTCAAGTACTGACCCAGCCTGTTCCTATTTTATCTTTGAAGATCTGGCTTCATTACAGCATAAAGTGATTTGGCTGTTACATTCATTCTGAATGTCTTAATTGGAAATATCTCGATATTTCTCCCAATAAGGCAATGGGGGAAAAAAAAGCAGTTATGCTTTTGAAACTTCTTTTTTAAAATTTAAATTTACATATGGGAGATAAAGTTCATGCTGCTCTCTTAATGCAATCAAAAAGCAGAGATTTACATATCCGGATGCTATCTAGCTGGCTCATTAGAGGCAAACAATACTTCCCACTGAACTCAGCTGCAGCCATTCAGAATGAACACATTACTCCTATAATTCACAAAGCAAACTTCATGTTTTGAGGAGATAAACAACAGAAATTTAGTTCTTTGTAGCAGTGTTATTTTCAGCCAGGCCTTAAGCCAAAAATTTAGTTTTATATAATAGCAGAAATTTTACTACTTGAACGTTTTTATGGAGAAACAGATGTTGCTTTGTGACAGAGAAACCCAGTCTGCAAAATGAGCAGCGTGTCTTGTATAACTCCCCCCAACACACTGCAGCTTTGTCAGAATGGGATATATTTATATAATAACTTGATTCTGTCCATTTTAGGGTTTGTCAAAACTGCAGGTTACTGTGCGGCAAGCCAGGGTGTGAATCTGCAGCGCACCAGGTTGCTGTGTGGCAACATCCATGTGGACTCTGTTACTGCTCACAGGAAGTCCCAGAGTGTGGCTTAGCACTACTTGAAAATGTCCACATAGGACGTTACTGCATGGCAAGCTGGTGCTTGGCAAGCCCATAGTTTCTAACCACCTCATAATCTTTAATGTGTTTATCCTCAACACTGAGGTAGGAAAGTACTGTTATCCCCATTTTACAGGCAGATAACTGGGGCACAGAGAGACAGTGGACTCATCCTCACTGCAGCATTCGCTTGAATTATCTACACTGGTTAACTCCTCTTGAGTTAGGCTAGTTCGAGTGTGAGTAACCACGCTGCAAAACGCCACTTGGGCTGCCCACAATGATTGGAACAGTGGCATAGAGTAGCGAAGTCCCAACTTCATTACTAGCTCCAGCATCAGCAGCACTCGCACTTTAACCCACATACACGGATGGGCCAGCTCGCTCACAGTTTACAAAGCCACTTAACTTAAGCTAGTGATTTGTGTGTGCAGAGGGGAGTCAGGTTAGGGGCAACATTCGAGTTATGCCGCAAGCTAACACTGCAAGGTCACGCTAAGTCTGTGGCAGAGCAGAGGCTTGAGCCCAGATCTCCAAAGTTCCAGACTAGCACACTAACTAACTAACTACCAGTCCATCTTTCCTCTGTGATTGCAGATCCTGCAATAAAGTTGCTCAGGGTCCAGTTCAAAGGAAGTACTATGTTTACGGAAATAACTGTTCAGGACAGCAGATTAGCATGTTACTTGCATGGGAAAACCTGGCTTAGTGTACATTGTCAGTAGCAAAATTTATATTTTAGATTATTCACAAATTTCAACATGTATTAATGTGAAAACTCCCCTCCCTTTCGGCCAGAACAGTTGTATTAGGCCATGAACCTTGCCTCTTCTGAATGTTATTGAGGACAAGTAGTCAATATCTTCATCAGTAGGAGCTGTATAGGTAATACCTTATCCACAGTTTGAATACCAAGCACTTCCTCATTTAATTATCAAGCAGCTTGTTTTTCAGCATAAATCACCCTTGGGAATTTGTTCATATTTTAGAAGTTTATCTTTAAATGCAGACACTCATGGACAGAGATGCAATTCATAATGGAGCTGGAGAAGAAATGATTGCTAGTTACTGGAAAAATATCTCCTGTTATTGAACATCAGTGGAGCTAAATTTGGGATATTGTTAAAACCAGTGAAACTTTTAATAAAACTCAGATTAATTTCAGAGAACATGGAATCCATTCTCTCCCCCACCCCCAATACTTGGACTCCATGAAAATGCTCTGGTGGGCTTCCAGATTTAGAGATGTGCATAGTGGAGATGTTAATTTAAAACATACCAGACAAAGTGTAATTAGTGACTTGTAGTGCATTTCAATGTTAAGTTTGGTTTTATATCTTTGTCAGTTAATACTGACTATCTGTATTGATATCACTATATCTTGCACTCTGAATTATTTACTGAAGATTAATTTGTTTGTGTATTCTTGTAGCCGCAGATCTGGCCAGTATACAATGAACCATGAGAACTCTAAGAAGTCCACAGAGAGGCCACAATTTGACCGCTCAAGTTCCCAGGATTCCGTGGATGAGTTGTCTATGGATGACTATTGGAAAGAACTTGAAAACATCCATGAAACCAGCGAAAATAATCATAAAGAGCAAGAAGTGGTTGTGGTGAAAGAGCCTGATGGTAACATTTTGATGAACGATTATTTTAGTGGCCACTGATTTTGAGTACCCAGTTTTGAGACACCTTAGGATTCATTTTCAGAGGTGCTGAGGACCCAACAACTCCAAATGAATCAATAAGAGCTCCCCAGCACCTCTACAAATCAGGCCTTGGGTGCCTTAAATTGGACACCCAAAAATGAGGTACCCCAAATTTGTGGCTGCTTTAAAAAAAAAATCTGTCCTTAAAGAGTTATGCCAGAGTAGCTAAAATAAGTTTTATTTTCCTTAAAAGGTATTCCCAGATATTCTCTATTTTCAAATTATACTAGTTTAGGATTTATAGACAGATTATATTCTTGTGTTTAGGAAGAAAAGGATTTGTTAATACAATTAGTAATTACAATAGGTACGATAAAATTGCATAATGGGCATACAATCTCATGCTTCAGAACAGAAGCCAACCACTGACTACCTGGGTTTAGGAAGCAACAACTCCTACAGTTGTGACATGGTATAATCTGTTATGGGGGGTTTAGACCTTCCTATGAAAAATCAGGTACCCGTCCCTGTCAGAGACAGGATTTTGGACGAGGTGGACTGATCCAATATGGCAACCGCTGACTTTTCCGATAAAGATCCAAAGCCCTGAATACCAGAATGTAAAAGTAATCTAAATTTAAAGGAAGCATTTATTTTCAACAATATGGTGTGCGCTTCCCCCAAAGATACAAAATTGTTAGGAAACTCCCCTTCCCCCCAAATTCTGAAAATGGTAAATTAAAGTTTTGGGGTGGGATTTTCAAAGATGATCAATGAGTTAGTAGCACAAATCTCATAGGCTTTCAGGGGGCCTCGTGCTCATACTAGCCCCCATAGGCACTTTTACCTGAGGGTGGGATTTCAGAAGAAGGTAACAAACTACGCTACAGATTCCTTGTTTCTAGTCCTTACTCCAAATTCTGAACTTCCTGCTGGGGGAAAACTCCAAGTCAATGGGGAGTTTTGTCCAAGTAAGAAGTTCAGGCTATTGCCCCAATGCAGTAACAAATTCGTAATACAGACTCTACCGCTGTTCAGTGAGAGCTCTACTCTTTCACTTGTCCATGAATACAAAGATGCTCACCAGGGTTTAAGAGACAGTAGGCTACAATGAATATAAATATGAAAGATTATGTGCCAGATTAATCTCTCAGATAAACTGATGTTAATCCAGGGCTACTCCATTGATTTAACTGAGATGAGAATCCAGCTCTACATACTTAATGACCATTAAACACTTGAGGGCAACATCAAAGGTCAGTACAATCCACTCCACATCAGTACAGGGTTTGGTAGCAATTTTTAAACAAGCACGATTATGTAAAAATGTGTTTGAAGAGTACAGTTTATATTACACTCTTGGTCAATCACAATAATTAACAGATGCCTTCTGCCTTTCTGCAATGAATGGTCAATAAAAGAAACATCATCAGCTAGAAACAACAAAGCAGTGATCATCTTACTGCATATCAGTACAGATTAGAGACGGCATCAGTATAGATAATTAAAAATTGCATTAAAATCGCCTATTAGATTGAATAAGCCCTGATCAAATTGAACTAGATCACACTAGTGAAAAGCTATAGGAATTAATGTACTAAAAAAACAACAAGGCACACAAATTTAAGTTAATGGTATAAAAAGATTGAGTACTAAACTATAAATAAAGTGGTTCTGATTAAAGGCTTTCAAGCTTCCTCCCACCCACCCCCTCCACTGGAATAGGGACAGCTGGCAGAGAAAGAGATCTTAACTGCTTAGTTAGAAGTTGAAACAGTGAAGAGCAGTAAGGATCACGTTTGTAAATGGCATATGAAGGATTAATCCATAGAAATTAATTAGCATGTTACAAGGTAGATGGTTATAAGTACCTCAGCAGAAGGTGCTATAGACTGTTCTAAACCACCTGTTGACTTGTCAAACTCTATCACAATCCACAGTAACATAATTTTTGTAGAGCGTTTATCACGTATTAACTGTTTAGACACCATAAGAGTCCCCTTAATATAATGTGTGACCATGCTAAGAATTGCACTCCACTTGCAGATACTCCTGGACCTTTTCCTGTAGGTTCACACAGACTACACGGTGTGGCTTTAACCCACTGTGCTCAACTACAGAGCTCAGACCCAAAAATCTAGTATTCATGTCCTTTGATTTTTCTCTTCTCTCCTGGCACAGAGGGAGAATTGGAAGAAGAGTGGTTAAAGGAAGCTGGGCTGTCAAACCTTTTTAGTGAGAGCACAGGAGATTCCCTAGACAGCATGGTGTTTCTGTCCACATTGACGCGAACTCAGACAGCAGCAGTACAGAAGCGAGTGGAGACTGTCTCACAAACCCTGAGGAAAAAAAACAAGCCGTACCATGTTCCTGACGTCAGAGATATCTTCAGGCAACAAAGTGATTCAAAGGAAAAAGTAAGCTCCTTAGTGTGGTTTGGCTTTGTTCTACTTTGCTGAAACCCTGGCTGGCCTTTTCAGAAGGGTTCAGTACTGGCCTAACTCTGCTCCCTAAAGTCAATAGTAAAACTCCCACTGACTTCAGTGGCAGCAAAGTTAGGCCAATGCTGAATACATTTAGCATGTAGAGTGGAGTTTTCAAAAGCAAATATTAAACATAAAAAGGAAGAGCTATTCTTCCCTACACAGGAGTAAGCCACACATGGAAGAAGAAACTTGGATTCAGTGTAGGGAGTTGCCTGGTAATTTTTCTGTTGTGAGGGTTGGGGTTTGACCTCTTTTCCCTTCCAGCCCCCCAAAGCAGCAGCTAGGCATTCAGCCGGGAGAAGATACTGATCTGATGGTGGCGCAGGGCCATCCACATGGAGGCCTTGTTCCTTGACATTCGCTTTGTGGCCACTTACCCTCATTTTTGTTCCTGAGCATTGCACTTCAAGTGGTGGCAGCGAGGTGGAGAAACTGAGACCAGTTGATTTCCTCCCACACTTGACCCATCCCTTCTAACACCGTGGAACTAAAATTCTCCAGAGGAAGTTTGTAAGCTACATGCTGCAGAGACAGAACTTCTCCTTCACCAAGATCTGGCTCCCTTCTGCATATGGATGGGGAGGGGAATATGGGACTTGGGACCGTTAATTCTGCAAAACATTCTGGGGCCCATTTTGTAGGAAACAGGTTATACCAAAGAGTGAAGTTGTGTTATACATTGTTATACTGTTAGATTGCAGAGGCGGGATAAAATTCAGTTTAGAGCAGTGTCATTTCACTCTTAACTGTGTTAATTCAGCATGAAAAAGGACATTCAGGTTCTTGTATTCAAGCCATAAATTATGCAGCACAAACGAGTACCTGTAATCTTGCAGCATGTACCAAAGAGAAGGTCCTAAATAGGAAAAAAAAGAAAAATCTTCCTACACTGTCCCTTCCATGCCACAAAACAGGAGTAAAGCCTCTCTGCTGCTGATACTCCAACCTAATACAGCCTCTGCCTATTTTCTGTATCCCTCCTCTACCAACAGGAAAGAGGTAGGACAGGAAAAAAGCTATCGAGTCATGGATCCTTCCCTGCCATCCTTCCCTGCCATGTCCCCAAAGAGCAGCTGTGTGACTGCACAGAGTCCTCTGGAGCTATGCTCTTTGTGCATTGGGATTGCATATACCCTGCAAAAGCTCCCCGCCTCCTGCTCTGCCCCGCCCCAGCGCTGTAGAACAGCCGTAGATCTGGCGCTCTCTGCACTCACAGAGGTGGGAGTAGGATTTGCCTTTCAGGATCTAGGATTTTAAAACAAAATGAACCTGACTTGTTTTTCGACCAAAATTTTGCAGTTCACCCTTATTCTCCCCAAGTCTTGGGCTGTACAGAACTTATCTAAAATGCCAGGCAAGAGCCAGATCACTAAATATCTAGTTAACATTCTGGGCTGTGCAGGGAGTTAATGAAACTTTAATATGGAAATAAGAAACTGTCTGGACCATGAGTATGAGGATTTCCTGGCAAATACTGTATCCATAATAATCTTAGACATAAACAAGCAATGGAACTTCAGAAGTTTTGTTTGTTTATAAACGCAGGGCTGGATTGTAGTTGGTCCTGCAAGGCTGCACTATGGGAGCAAAAATGGCAGAAGTGGCCTTTGTCCTCCCTCCCTTCTTGTCCCTTTGTGGTGTGGACCAGCTATACAGTTGTTGGGAATGCAAGCAGTATGCACAGCTAACATCGCTAGCCTCCCCCGACAAGGACTGGGATGGCAGCAGGGCCAGATCTGTCTTGGACCCATCAAATCACAGGAGGGAGTGCATGCTACATTCTGCACCAGGGCGACGGGGCTTCTGCTGCAGCTTGCGCTTTTGGGCTGATTCAATCAGAATTCCTCGTGGGAGCTCCCACCGAAATATTATAATAATAATAATACCTAGTTCCTATATAATGCTTTTCACCCGTACATCTCAAAGCACTTTACAAAGGAGGTCAGTGTCATATGCCTCTTTTACAGATAAAGAAACAGAGCCACTGTGAGGTTGAAGTGACTTGCACAAGGTCACACAGCAGGCCAGTGGCGGAGCCAGGAATTGACCTCAGCTCTCCTGAGTCCCAGTTCTGTGCTTATATTACATATAATCTCCCCCTCTACAGCCCCGCCAGCGCAGACTGTGGCTTTAATTCACATTTTAGCCTTTCCCATTCATTTTGCATATTATGGTGGAGCTGTAGTGACATCTGAACTAAGTTTGTGTCTAATTGTGTTTTTGGTCAAGGGACTTAATTTCCTATGTCCCATGTCTGTGATTAAGAGGCTCTTATCAAACACCCCAGTCCCACAACTGACAGTGCATGGGTGGACTGCTGCACCCCCAGGGAGTTCCATTGACTTCAGAGGGGCTCTCCTTGGTTGCAAGTCTACCACTCACAAGATCAGGGCCAAAGGAGTTGCTTACATTCTGTTGTTTGCTGTAATAAGCTATTGGTATTTGAGCTTAGAGATGACTTGGTTTCTCTTTGCTTTTTTAGGTCTCCGATGAGAGTGAGCCCTCATCTGTGACAGCAAGAGAGAATAAAAATGAAGCTCAAGATGAAGTGAAAGATGGTAATGCTGAGCAGCTCCTCTGCTCTTTTTTTCTGTTCCATAGTGTCTTAGCTTCACGGCATACTGAAGAACAGGTCCACATTTTCAGTAACATTTCAGAGAAAAAAAGCCACTGGATAAACTCTATGAATATAGCTGTGGACCACATCTTTCCAAGTTTGTAACATTTTAAAATGCATTTATAGATGGTGTCCTTTGAAAAGTCTGGTAAATCTTGTGATAATTTTACAGCAGAATGCTTTGATAAAGGTCCGCACCAATGGCTCATTCTTAGCTCTTCATTTTTATCCCTTTGGTTGTCTCTCTTCTGCACTTTCAACACAAGAAACAAGAGCTGTGGAAAAGCTCATCAGTAAATATGAGAGAGCAAGAGCAAAAGAAGTAAGAAAAATGTAAGGATTTGCTATATATGTAGGGCTCAAAGTGAGAGAAAATATCAGTGTTTAATTAGTTGACTATATTCATGGAGAGAACAGAAAGTAGGGGGAGTTCTTTGCCTTTAGGGGTAGGTTCTGCCGTGCCCTATCCAGTTGAACAACAGGGTGAGGTACAGAGAGGGCATAAAGACCAGCCCACATAGGGGCAGGGCCTAATTGCAGCCCTTTGATGAAATCTTGGCCTTCCTAAAATCAATGGCAAAACTCCCACTGATTTCAGTGAATCCAGATTTCACCCCTTGTGCTTGACAGTAGCTCTCCAGCCCCCTGTAGTAAGGGGTTGTGGCTGGTTTGCATCTCCTATTTCTCCTGGAGCTCCTGTTGGGGCTATGCAGCTGCTCACCACCTGCAACAGTACTCTGGACCATAAAGGTACAATCAAGTCGTAGTTCCAGCCACTCAAGTCCTGAATTTGGCCTAAATACTTCTATTATTTTTCTAGAGACTTACTCTTTCCTTTAAAAAAAACCCGACAAGTGATTGGAGGGCATCTAGATATTATACTGGACACTTTGTAGATACATAGACAGGAAGACTGATTAACCTCCAAATTTTAGAATGTGTATCCAAAGTATTTTGGAGAAATAGCTAACAGAGGGTTAAAAACAGGAAAGATGAATAACAAAACATACACAATGTAAAAAGAGAGGAGAAGGAGAGAGAGAGAGAGAGAGAGAGGTAGAAATGAGCCCCCCACAGTTCTTGTGTTTCCAGAAGCATTATTAATCTTACCCTTTCCTGCTTTCAGCAAACCTTTCAGTGGTAAGAACTGTGAACAAGTGGGAGAGCTGCCAAAATGCTGGGTCAGCACAAGGGAAGGAAGAGAAGCCTGGTGCTTGTGTCAATAAACTACACTAAAATTTGGGGCTGGAAAATTACCAAGCAATTATTGCAGAGTTTTATCACATCTGGTGATTTTTTTCCAGTGGCCTGATGAACCCTTTAGAAATGGGAAGTTCTGAAAGGCAAATTCCATATGTTAGCTCTCCCTAGCGCAGATTGCGATGGGCAAGGCAAGTGTAGCCTACTTACATCCTAATACACTTCTGCTTTTGCCAGCATGCTAAAGTGGGCTCTGCTCTTGAGATTAGAACAAGAAGAAAATCAGTTCATTTTTGCAGGAAAGCCATCCAAGTTGAGCTGCATTAAAATCTGCTGCACCTGTTTCAGGACTGTGCCATGATCCCTTTCTTCAAGAATAATGAGCTAATTGGTGTAATGTAAACAGTGATTGGCTTTAAAGGCAATAAATAAACATTGTCGGGGTTTCAAAGACACCAAATACCTATGAAATCTAAATCCAGAGGCATTATTGTAAAGTTAAAATGCTTTTACCAGTTTTACCTGAAAAATGCACTAGTATCATTTGTTATAATAGATTTTTACTTTTTTTAGAAATTTAAATCATAGTGATGCCTCTGTTTTCTACATTCCATATTTGTAAACTTGTTAATGGCTGTGAAATCTATGGTTTGTCATATTCTGAAAGTGATGATTGCTCCTAGTTAGGTGTCTGAAGCATCCATTTCTCAAGAGCATCTGACTGAAGTGCCAAATTGAGGATGGTGATGCTATAATAATACCTCGCTTTTTTTTATCAGCAGATCTCAAAGTGTTTTACAGAGATGTTCATAGGATCTCTAGCCCCATTTTACAGAAGGGGAAATGAGACAAGATCAGTAGCAGATCCAGGACCAGAACTGAGGTCTCTTGAGTCCCATGGTCTGTCCACTAGGCCACACTGCCTACTACTGTTATTGATAATTATACTGAAAATTCCATGGAGCATGTGAACTCAGATTCCTTGAGCCTGTTCCAGTCCCTTTTTTCCTTCTACCCTAACCTAAACTCTTCCTTGGTTGAACAGATGTCAGCAAACTCAGGAAATAATGTGAAAGGTTCCCCATTGTTCACATTTTTTGTTCTTTCCTGACTGGCCCAATCCAGGGGGGACAGTTCAGTTTAGTCAATTAGTCCTAGTATGTTTAGTATCCATGGGGAGGTTCATTTATTTGGATTTCTTGAAACCTCTGTCTCCATGGCTTTTGTGTGTATATCTACAAAACAAAAATAAAATCCAAAGGACACTCATTGAGCTGCCAAACATCATTTGCCAGGCTACCTGCTATATGCCTAACAGAAATTACAATAATCTCACAGATTTAACCATCCACAACCCTCACTCCTTTATCAAAATCCCCCCCAAAAAAATCACAGCATGCCCTGAAGGTAAATAGATGCAGTGCTCTTTAGATGATCATGTAAAGGAGCTCAGGTAAGAGTTAAGGATAGTGAGAACATGTGCTGCTTCCTCAGGAAAAGATATTCTAAGAAAAAAACATAAACAAACTGAGAACTCACCACTCAGAGTAGCAACAGCCAAGACAAAATGACTAATGTAGGGCTGCAGCTGGTTATCTCTTCCAGATTCAAAGGGCCAGCTTCCAGGGTAAGCATGCTGAGTAAGATGCTTTTAGAAGGGTAAACCCAAAGCATAATGAGCAGGCAGTTAGAAAACAGAGGTCGCTAAGGGACTTTCATCTAAGACCTAGAGGGACTAGAGCTTAGTTGAAAGACACTCTGAAATTTCCAGGATTGGGGCCAGATCCTCAGCTGGTGTAAATTGGCAAAGCTCCAATGATTTTAGTAAAACTGTGCTCATAAATAGCTTCTGGGAATATGGCCTTGGAGTGTCTCGTGCCTGATCCAACACTCACTGACAGATATCCATTGGCTTTAAAGGGAGTTAGACTGGGTCCGAAGCAAGCTGGGCGTGTCTTTCTCTTGTTTTCTGATTATGCAGTATGGTTATAACAAATTCCCACATGCCTTGTGGACATCAGTTGACTCCTTTGCTTGAAGTTTACCATCACTTAGCCAAAAGAAACCTACAGGCGCTTTTCCTGCCACTATCCCATTACCAACTTGTACCTTTCTTTCCTGGGTGACTCTTAGCCTGAGAACCCCCCCCCCCCCCGAGTATGACTACATCACTAGCACACAGGGGTAGAGATGCTACATGGATGTAACCTATACAGGTTAAAAACAACTTCCCCTGGAAACTAATATGCAGACAGCGCAGATTGTGGACCAGTGGCGTAGCGTGCTCCCTCTGGGCCCGTTCATGGTTGCCCTGCAAGCCCGCTGTGTCAACACAAAGGGGCTACAAAGCAACCCCCCAGGGTATATTCCCAGGTGAAGAATGCCCCACTCCACAGGTGCCCCTTGGGCAGGAGGTGTTTCAGGGCAGGCAAGAGGTGGGGCATGGATTGGGGTAGGAGGGGCATGCTCCTGTGCCCCACCTATTTCCTGGCTTCTTTAAAGTTCACAGAGACCATTAAAACTGGGGCAAAATTCATGGCAGGCTTCAGGGTGAAACTGGCCTTGAGGACCCCAAAATGATGGCGATGCAAGCCACCTCCTTCAGGCTCTGCACCAGCCCTAGCCTCAGGGTAAGAGGGGGATTCAGCCCTCTGTGAAGCATGTCCACTGTGAGACACTTGAGGCCAGCAGCATTTATAAATTCTTCCTGGCTGGCCCCAGGAATGCGGATGTCAGTCAGGAAAGAATGAGGCATGGTTGGGAGTGGGAGAGAATGGTTCTCCTTAAATGGAGACTGCCCCGTACATCTGTCCAGGAAGGAGCATGGATGCCCACAAAATGCCCTAGTGATTCCCAGAAGTTCCTAATCCCCCTTTCAGCACTGAGGTGGAAGAGGGGGAATGATGGAAATGTGAAAGATATTTGTTTGCTAGTTTCAGCTTAATGCACACATTAGTACAACATTTGTTTCCCTAACTTTTCATAAATATAGTCTACTGTATTTGAGCCTGTTCTGCTCCCACAGGAGACTGTGGCAAAGCTCCCATTGTCTTCAGTGGAATCAGGATCATAGAATCATAGAGTATCAGGGTTGGAAGGGACCTCAGGAGGTCATCTAGTCCAACCCCCTGCTCAAAGCAGGACCAATCCCCAACATTCAGGCTCCAAACATTCCGTGTAGTAGTTTTCCTATTCCAAATTGAGAGAAAAATCACCCCAAACCCAAAATACGGTCTATTTCTGCCTCAGTTACATAAGTCATTGAAGTCAGTGGCAGTAGTACCCTTGTAACTGAAGGAAAAATTGAATCTCGTTAAAGGTAACTTAAAGGAAAAAATGGAGCTGTGTCCTTATTTGCTTCTTTATGGTGTATAAATAAGGCCTGAAACATTTTTTCAAAAGTTTTTCTTCCTGCTTTTTTTTTTTTAATGTTAGAAATAAATGACTGTGCCACGTGGAAGACTCTCTATTTGGAGAGCTAGTGAAACAATGACAATCTAAAACTGTCTGTTAGTTTGTGTGTATAAAGTCAGTGACCAATTAGCATTTTGGAGGAAGAACATATTAATTAAAGATTAAATCGCTCTACCCCTCCAATAAAAATGTGAAGCCTAACATTTACGTAAGTCATAGTGTACAGTATACATCCTCTGGGACATCCATTATGTTCTCCAGGAAAGACCAGACTTAACCTTTCTGATGTTCCCAGGATTTTTTTTTAAACACAAGCCTTCTTTATACATCACAGGGAAGCAAAATGACAGTGCAGGCCCAGTTTTAAAACACACCTTTTGCACGTCCCCTTTAATATCCAGTATTTACTTTTTTTTTTTTTTTTGGTATCACACTCACATTTCTGTCATATGAAACTCTGACCGCAACTGGTAAATTGACAACCCAGCAAATCTACTTCCTCTTACAGCTGTTTCCTAGTTAATAAACACAAAGCAATAGGATCAGGACTGCACAAACATTAAACCCCAATTAAGAACAGCAGCATTTCCACATGTCTTTGAAGCTTTTATATCATTACAAAGACATCAATACCCAAAAAACAAAAACAAAAACCAAACAAACCCAAAACTTCCATCTAAACAGAGGGCTGAAACAGGAACTACTGTATTACTGTTTGCTAACAACAGTTCTGTTCCAAGCTGATATTGGGCAAAAGATGCATGGATCAGACAAGACACATTAACCACAACATCCTGATAAAAATAATAATAGAGAAATAAGAACCCTATTTCCCCTTTTACCATTTAAAAAATCAGTTTAAATGTATTAAACACCGGGGCCAAATATATCTGTGGTGTAATCCAACTGAATTCAGTAGACTTGATGCAGAGCTGAATTTGGCCCTAGAAGTTTTGCGATTCTAAGACATTTGATATCGCTTTGCTGAATTCAGCAGCTCCAGTTTCAGCTTCAGCTTGATCCTTCACATCTGCTCAGTGAAGCCTTTGAGGTTCTAACACAGCTCAGGCTGAAGCTACTCTGAAGAGAGAAACTGGTCAAATATATATATTTTACAACTATTTTATTCTACTTCTCAAAGCTTTACACTCAGTTGTGAGTAGAATAAAAGCATACTGCCTCCCCCCCAATCAAAACCGTTCCTCTCTTTGGAGCTGCTTCAGTCCCTGCTGAATGGACCTCAGAGTCCTAACTGAGTGCTAGACATTATGGCTTACTCTGAAACTGATGCTGCTGATTTCACAGCTTGAAGATCTTAAGGCCAGCCCTTCCATGTGAAGAACTCCAAGAGTATGGCTCTGGCTGGGGCAGTTTGCATGGAATAGTTTCAGCTCCAAGCTCTCCACAAATAGTTTTACTTTAAAATATAGACTTTTCAAACCAGTATGGGCCACTTTTTTAAAATAAAATAAAACGTTTTATTTTGTAATTTATTCTTTCCCACACTGTTTGGGTTTGTAATGTTGGGAGACAGCAGCACTGCTTAAACCCTTCTCTGGGCCGGGGGGAGCAGAGAATAGCTGGAGTGCAGCACCATTTCAGTTGCACCTTCTCCCTTATCCAGCCTATCCCCACCATAGCCCTTACACTAGGGTCAGTGAGCATGAGGTGGTACAGAGAAGTTGCTCAAGGTGAGGCTATTTCCTAGGGGGCCATGTCTTGCCCCTTTTGGAGTAAGGAATTCAGAGACATCTGAGAATTGGCACCCCTAAGTTTCCCACAATGGTGAAAATAAAGCCATCTGTTGGATGTTTCATTACACAACAGCTAGTCTGTACAAACACATGCTCTTATTATGGTTTCCCTCATCCTTCTGTCCCACTTCCCATTCCATTGTTTTTCACACTCACTTGCAGCATCTTGTCTTTAAACAGATTGTGAGCTTTTGGGGGCAGGGACCAGAGGGTGACATCCTAGCCCATTGAAGTCACTGAGAATTTTGCCTTTGATGTCAGTGGAGCCAGGGTGTCTTCCAGCATGCTTGTACAGAACCTCTCACAATGGGACCAAAATCCCGATGGGGAGCTTTGTGGGGATACCAGGTTACAAGTAACAATGATGCTGGTGGTGGTGATGGTGTCAGAATGCTCACCCAGTCAGAGCCATTGACTGACTGGGTTCTCTTTGATACTTTGTGATAAGATAAATTGTTTTGTGTATTGACTGGAATTTTTCTTTTGCAGAATAGAATATTTAAAATTATTTTTCCCCCTGAAAACACTTTGCACCCTTCTCTTGTCTCCTGATACCAGTGACACATTGGGAATGAAAAACACCTGGTAATTACCTATAAAAGCAGGCTGTTTCTGGGTTAAATGGTAAAAGAACTGCCTCTATTTAAAAAACAAAACAAAAAATGAATTATTATTCTAAATCATTTGTTCAGTGCCCAGTTCCTTCTTGAGGGCAACAAGGAAAGAGAAGTGGTGCCACCATTACGTGCTCCCACTCTTCTCTGCCCACCTTTTTTTCACGGAAGCGTCTCTGTAGCGGCTTTGAGAGATTCAGGCTCTACACGATGGGAAGGGGATAAGAATGTCAGGACTCAGTCATGCTTTATTGGATTCCCACACCTGCACCCCCATCCCACACACCAGTTTCAGACCTGCAGGACAAAGAACTGGTGTTCAGGGTTGCCCCGTGAAGCATGGCCGCTGAAGGAGTTGTGCAGTTAATGGTTGCAGGGCACGAGAGGAAGAGAGGAGGATGGGAAGCAGATCTGAGGCAAGGGACTTCTGTGCAGAAGCTGCTTGGTTCTGGCAGATCCCAGGAATCTCTGGTTTATTTGGGATAGAATGATAGAATGTTTTACCTTTTCCATGAGGGATAAGGAGGAGGTAAATTCTGCCTCTTGGCAGAATTATTCCAGTGCAACTCCATGAGATGAAAATTCTCGGCTGACATAGCTCCAGTCATTGGAGTTACACAGCAGAGATTTTGCCCCAAGAGTTTCCACCCCCTGCACAGGATTAACATGTCTGGAGTCCTAAATATTTACTTTCATGCAAACCAGAGGAGGAGAGAGGCAATATTTGAAAGTGCTGATGACTTTTTTCCCCCCCTTCTGTTTTCAGATTCGGACTTCAGCCTCGGTATCAGTGAAAAGACCAGCCTGCTTGAGGATGTGCCAGTTTCTGAAACGGATATCAATTTAGAGATTTCATTTGCAGAGCAGGCAGCCAATCTCAAAGACAGCTCAATAGGCAAAATGTGCAAAGGCAAAGAGGACGATACGCTACTTCCTGTAGGTGTTTCTCATTCATTGCTGTAGTCATTTCATAAACTTTATTTTAGCCTTTTTGACATTGTTTCTGTGATATTGGTTGGAACAAGAAGATTCAGAATGCTATAGCTTTATTTTTTTCAGGCCCCTAGAGATCCTTCTCTCATTGGATTGGGTCCCTTCTGTGTGTGTGTTATAGGAGAGTAGTATTCGGCCCTTAATAAATGTGGAAATCTTATTCTTATGCCTACTATTTGCCAGTACCTTTTCAACGCTGTACCTTATCTTAAAGAAATTGAGGACTAGTAATGCTTAAAAATTAGGACTTCAGCCTGACATGGTCTGCTCAGTAATAGTTATTTTCATTGCAGTTCAGAAAACTCAGGTTATATTTATTGGGGTAGACCTTCAGCTAGATGTTAATGGAACTCTGACAATGTCCACCAGCTGAGGATCTTCACCATTTAGTGTTGGCCCTAGTTCCTTGCTCACTACACTAATAGGGGTGAGGTGCCTTGCATCACTTAATAGAGACCTCTTTTGTTGGTTAAAGAGCATTGATGGACTCCAGCAGAAGTTTCATGTGGCCCACTGAGGTGAAAGGGTGAGAATGAAGAATGGGTTGATCTTTATACTTGTAATAGAGATGTACAGTTTGGGGATGGGTCCCTTTTCAACAGATACGTTGATCATTTCTGGATTTCACATTTTCTATGCTTAATCATACTGCTTATGGCACCTGCTAAGGTGCCCAGCACATAACACATGAGCATGTATAAAAATGAGGCATTTTAATCCTTCGAAAAATATTTAATTTTTGTTATAACAAAAAGTCAAGGAATATTTCCAAAATGTGAGGATTTGTTTCTCCCTAGTTCCACATTCCCATCTGTCAACCGATGAGTCTTATTCTTAATAAGGGTAAATCAATACTAATAGCCTTAGAATTTCACAAACATTAGAAACATGCACTCACACACACTACAAATTAACCATTTTTAAAAAAATAGCAATTTTTTTTGTCATACACTGTGTGCAAACATGTCTGTGTAAACTCAGTGCTTGGAATAATAATGTTTCAATTTTCTTCAAACACTCAATTTAGATAAGCACACAAACATTTCTGCCAGTAATAATTACTGAACATTCCCTTAGTTTTAATACAATAAACCTGCTTTGAAAAATGTTTGACTCACACTTCAGTAATGCAGAAAAAATCAGGAATGGAAACTCTGGCCTGGCTTATGAGAAGTCTTTGATTCAATTGTAGAAGAGTCACACATTCAAAGAGCAATTTACTGGAGTTTTACTTATTGACTGTCTACATACTGAAGTGGCTATGGCCTTTTTCATAACCTTAGGGATGAACAATCCTAAGGCAGCGAAACATTTCAGAAAAGGAGTGATCTGACTATTGATATGTGTGATCTGTAAAGACCTTCCCTCCCTTACCCAAAATATTCACATGGTCTTATATATTGATTTGAAAAAAGAAGCGTATAAAGTGTGTTAATTAAATCCCAAGCAGGAAGCTGGTTACATCCACCAATCATAAATAAGGGCTGGCTCAGCAGCCACGCAGAGTTTTCAACCCCAAATTCAGCTATATGTGAGCCAACTGAGACTAGAGGACCGTGAAGGTATCAAGGGCCCTTTCCAGCAGAAAGAACTCCATGCCTAGCTTTTGAGTAATCTTCCTGCTCAGTTCTTGGTGTGTTATACTTTAAAAGAGATGCATCCAGCCCTTATCTGCTAGAGTTAGACTTCCTGTATCACAGGAAGCAGCAGTAAAGTCAAATAAGCTCTTATGGGCAGGGCTCATCTTTTTTTTCTGTGTTTGTACCATGTCTAGCTCAATGGGCCTTGCTCCGTGACTGGGGTCCAAGGTGGTATGGTAATACAAATAGTAAATAATGAGGGAGGGAACAACAGTGAGCCCCCTATTACTAATTTTTTATGTGGCACCCAAGAATGAGTGAGGTGTAAGAGAACATGTAAGAGAACAGGTTCCTGCCCCAAAGAGTTTATCATCTGTTACCTTGATCCTACAGTCAACTGCATCTAGGCAGACTTCTGCATTTACTCGAAGCCCCAGTGAAACTGGAACCTAAATAGACAACATAAAAAAGGGAGAACAGAAAGAGATACCACCCAGAAGTGCATACTAATCAAATGATCTGCGCTAGACAGGGTTCCATCCATCACAGATTTGCTCTTTGCAATCAGATATGGTCGTTGCAGTGTATAGGTTTTTCCACGCAAGCTTTGAATATGCAAGAAGCATGGGGAATTTACACGCTGCAGATAGCCTGCTTTTTAAACTATGTCACTCTCCTGTGGCACCCAATTGTAGCAATGTGTTTCGTTACAAAAGTGGAGCCACAGTAGCGGAATGGCCTTTATACTTGTCACTTTTCTTTGTCCTTCAATGTGTTGAGATTGTTTATTTGCCATGATGCAAATCCTATGTTCTAGAATTTCAGATTGCCAAAGGACAAAACGGGTACCACAAAGATTGGTGATCTGGCTCCTCAGGACATGAAGAAAGTCTATTCATTAGCACTGATTGAGCTAACCGCACTGTATGACTTACTCGGGACAGAATTCAAGCAACAGAAGGCCATAAAAATCAAAACGAAAGGTGAGTAGTACAGTTATAAATTCTTTAGAAACAAATGGGTCTGGGTGAGGTTGTTTTTAAACAATCCCAAAAGGAGAGATGTACATTAGCTGGTAATGTCGGCCCTGATTCAGCATTACACTGTAGCCAGGGAGCTCTTGACTCTCTCCACATTTAAACAGCCTCATGCACATAAACTGTTCCAGCTAAGGAGGATTTTAGGGCTAAAATCCTCTGGCAACTAACTTTAGCAGGCCAGGCATTCTAGGCCAGGCACTGGGCAGATGTCTTAGGGAGCAAGGGAAAGGAATCCTTCTGGTAGTACTATAGTATGATGGAAGCGTTGCTTCAGAGCCTTTCAGAGATTCATAGTTTCAGAGCTTCCAAGGTGAGAAGGGACCGTTAGATCACGTAGGCTGACTTCCTGCACCACACAGGCCATAGAATACCATTGTAATTCCTTCTGTTGTGAGCCCAATAACTTGTGTTTGGCTTGACAAAAGCAATTCTCCAGCCCTCTCTGTTCCATAGTCCCTAAAGCAGCCCCTTTTCATGAGGATGGGAGGATTTGCTTAAGAGTAGATACCTCCTCATCACCCTTATCCTGTTCTATTGCATTGTGCTGAGCTCTGTATAAGGCACAAAACGTGCCATCCTATATGGTCCCTCCACATTCAGCCTGCACCTCTTGCCCACGGTAATAATTTGCCATCTTTCTTCCTAAGTAACTTATATTGATGTGCCCTAACACATCCTGCATTTCCTCAGATCGCAACCTCTTTTAGGCATTTGCAGATCTGTGCTTTTCTGTGTTGTGTGTTGGAATGGTTTCATACACACTAGGGGGCAGGGGAGGGGGTCTGCTAAGGCAGTTCTTGTAGAAAGTCACTGTGGCATCAAGGCACTGGAGCCTATGTATGATTCTGACTCCTTTTCAAAAACTAGAAATACGTGGAAACCTATTTCAAGTTGCAAGAGGTTTTCAGTGTTTTGGTAGTTGTCTGCTTTTCTGACCTTCTGCTAACTGTTTTACAAGAGCTTGAAATGTATTACCAGTTAATCACAAACCCACTTTGGGCAAAGCCCTGTTGTCAAGGTTCAGTGGATGTGACAGTGAAATAGCTCCCTTTAAATAATTGAAAGCAACAGAGAGCGTTGAGAGACATACAGCAGGATACAATTGATTCCTCTGAATACACTTTTCACTTTACAGTAGCAGAAAATAACTTTTTAAATGCAAAAGCATACACACAACCATCTTTGTGACCTTGATTCCTAAATGAATTTCCACCCTGCAGAAGTGCCTGTGCTACAACCAGTAGAAAATGGTGTGCAAACAAAATACTTTTTTCTCTTGATTTTTTTTATTGTGTATTTAAATAGGCCTTCTTACCAAACCAATGTAGTTTTAATTTAACATTATCTCTGGCATGTTTTTGAAATGACTGCCAGCAGGGAAAACAAGTAAATTGGCTAAAATAGTTTGTCCTGCACCCAAACCAAAAAGATGAACTTGATTTAGGGGCCCCACAACAGTGTGGGAAAGAGGCAACAGAATGTCACCCTGCCTCCCAGGAAATGGAGTGGCTTGACAGTTGCTATTCCCACGTCAAGGGTACAGGACCCTCTGTGGGGATGTGGGACCAAGCCCCTCAGCCTGGGCCCACAGACTCATGCTAAGGGGGCTTGCACCAGTGTGCTAAAATAACAGTGTAGATGTTGCTTTGATGCTGTGACTCAAAGCCTGAGCCCGAGCTCCAGCCCCAGCCCGAGTTGCCATATGAAAGCAAAGTCTACATAGCTATTTTTAGCATGCTAGAACAAGTCTGTGGACCTAGGCTGGGAGGCTTGCTCCCAGATGCAGTGTAGACATACCCTATAGCTTCTCTGTGTCTCTCCTCTCTCACCTGCAATGTAATTTGCCCAGAGCATCCATGCGATAGTGGGAGGATGCAGGAAGTCCATGCATTTTTTTCACACCTCTGCAGCATCTCCATATTCCCACCTCATGCAGCATGGTTTGGCCCCTGGATACATGCGGTAGTGGGTCCACTAGCCATTTCCCTTTGCGTTTGGGTGGCTTGAGATGCTGGAGAGTACACAGCTCTGCTGCGAAAAGGGAGGGGTGCAACCTCTGCATGGGCTTTCTGTAGCCTGCACCTCCTCCCTCACCACAGCAGACCCGCATGGGTTCTGCTACCTAGTAGCTCAGTGAGCATGCACAGGAAGGATTGTGCGTGTGTGACTGTGTGTGTGTAGTTGTGAGTGCACGTATTTTACAGACAATGGCCTGTTTTCAATATACTTGTTAAATAAGGCACACTCTAAAGAAACTCCTTATAGCAGGGCAGGGCAAATTTTTTGGCCTGAGGGCCGTATCGGGTTTCTGAAATTGTATGAAGGGCCAGTTAGGGGAGGCTGTGCCTCCTCAGACAACCAGGCATGGCCCGGCCCCTGCCCTCATCCGACCCCCCTGCTTCTCAGCCCCTGACGGCCCCCCAGGACTCCTGCCCCATCCAACCCACCCTGTTCCCTGACAGCCCCCTGAGGACTTCTGCCCCACCCCCACCCCCCTTCTCTCTGTTCCCCTGCCTGCCCCCCGCCACCCCATCCAACCCCACCCACTCCTTCCTGACTGCCCCCCTGGGACCCATGCCCCATCCAACCACCCCTTCTCCCTGACCGCCCCCGGATCCCCTGCCCCCCCATCCAACCCCCCTCTCCTTCCTGACTGCCCCCCCCCGGACCCCGCCTCATCCACCCCTCTGCTCCCTGGCCCCTGACTGCCCCCAGAACCCCCACCCCTGCCTGCCCCCTGCTGCCTCATCCAACCCCCCCCCCCCTTACTGCCTCCCCCGGGACCCCTGCCCCCATTCAACCCCGCTGTTCCCCGTCCTCTGACCGCCCGACCCCTATCCACACCCCAGCCCCTGACCACCCCCTGAACTCCCCTGCCCTCTATCCAACCCCCCCTGCTCACTGCCCCCTTACCGCACTGCCTGGAGCACCGGTGGCTGGTGGCGCAGCTGCACCAGGACAGGCAGCCGCGCAGCACAGAGCACCGGATCAGGCCACGGCTCTGCAGCTGCGCTGCCCCAGGAGCTCCAGCCCCGCCACCCAGAGCATTGTGCCTGTGGCGCAGTAAGCTGAGGCTGCGGGAGTGGGGCCGGGCTAGCCTCCCGGGCCATGTTTCAGAGTAGCAGCCGTGTTAGTCTGTATTCGCAAAAAGAAAAGGAGTACTAGTGGCACCTCAGAGACTAACCAATTTATCTGAGCATAAGCTTTCGTGAGCTACAGCTCACTTCATCGGATGCATTCAGTGGAAAATACAATCTCCTCACTGTATTTTCCACTGAATGCATCCGATGAAGTGAGCTGTAGCTCACGAAAGCTTATGCTCAGATAAATTGGTTAGTCTCTGAGGTGCCACTAGTACTCCTTTCCTCCCAGGCCAGGAGTTCGGGGCTGGGCAGGATGGTCCCGTGGGCCGGATGTGGCCCGAGGACCATAGTTTGCCCACCTCTGCCTTATAGTGGCTCATTTGACACTTATTGTTGACATTAGAGGTGATATCATGGTTCTATATTCACACCTAAAACCACTAAAAACCGCCTTCACTAAACAACGATACTGCACCAGAGAAGTAGATATATACCATATGATAGAATGGGCAACCCAAATGCCTGGGAGAACCTGCATCAGTACAGAAAAAAACCTCCACACGAGAACCCATACAGGGTGTCATCAAACAATTGCAACCTATATTTGATGGGAACCACATCCTGAAAGAAATTTTCCTGGACCCCCTCTTCTGGTCTTCAAACAATCCCCGAGCCTTGCCCAGCTCATTATCAGAAGCAAGCTCCCCACAGACCAGGACACACCAACTCAAAGTGAAACCAGATGCTGTGAGAACAACAGATACAAAACCTGCAGACATATCTCCACTGCTATGATGATCAATACCCCCCACAACACACTTTTTTAGATCCATGTGATTATAGTGCATCTCGAAAAAGGCATGTTTTTATATGAAGATTAAAGCCAAGTCTTGTTCCGTATTCTTTGTAAGCCCTGGTTAAAAATGGCCATTATCTCATCTCATCTATTTTTACATTGCTGTATGGGCCTATATGTTTATGATAGGACTGCTCTGCCTTAGATAAATATTAATCAGAGTGAATGGTGTTTGAGAGAGGTACACTGGCAAATTATTGAATCTTAAAGATTTGTGTGTTGGAATTGCTACACATAAGAACATAAGAATGGCTCTACTGGGTCAGACCAAAGGTCCATCTAAGCCCAGTATCCTGTCTGCCAACAGTGGCCAATGCCAGGTGCCCCGGAGGGAATGAACAGAACAGGTAATCGTCAAGTGATCCATCCCCTGCCACCCATTCCCAGCTTCTGGCAAACACAGCCTATTACAACCTGTGGTGTACCTCATCCAGGGTATCAAATGCCCCAACAACAACTACGAGGGTAAAACCAGGTAATCGCTATGCTTTTGAATGAACTTACACAGGAAAATGATAAAAAAACAAAGACACCCTATCACCCGGGGGTGAACACTGTTCCCAAAGCAGTCACTCCGTAGCTGACTTCTCAGTCCTAGTTCTCAAAGGAAACCCGCACAACACCTTCAAAAAGATGTCCCTGGGAACTTAAATTCATAACTTTGCTAGACTCTAAAAACCATGGACTTAACAGAGACACTGGTTTTATGGCTTATTACAACAATTTGCAACACACCCTACTATTTGCTAGCTCTTAATTGCTTGTTTCATTTTAAATCGTCTTCTACAGCATGTGTGAACCCCTTATGCTTAACCATCTTTCTCACCTTGTATTTAGGCTGGGAAATGCTGATTATCTTCTTCCAACCTGAGGAAGACATCTGTGAAGCTTAAATGCTTGTTTCTTCCACTAACAGAAGTTGGTCCAATAAAAGATATTACCTCACCTACCTTGTACCACTGTTCTATACACAGTTCCAGAAAAACGACCATTAACCTTATCCCAGCAGAGTAGTTACAAGACACAAATCTTTAAGGTTCAATAATTTGCCAGTGTACCTCTCTCAGAAACCATTCACTTCTGATTAGTATTTATCTAAGGCAGAGCACTCTTACCATAAAAATATAAGACCATATAGTAATGTAAAGTTAGATAACATGAGGTAATGGCCATTTTTTAACCAGGGCTTACAATGAGCATAGAACAAGACTTGGCTTTAATTTTCATATAAAAAAATTCCTTTTTTGAGATGCACTGTCAACCAATTTACACTATAGGATGCAAAAAAGCACAATGAATGCTAACTAGCTCTTCTTTCAAAACACAGAGGGAGAACTGTTTAGAGTAAAAGTGGATTATAATTACATCTATTTCATTTTAGCAGCCAAATTCTTGGGAAGCTTACTCAGGCCATTTGCATCTAAACTTGTATTGAGTGATAAAGATCTGCATCTCTGGGTCATCAACACCACAGTTTTCCACAAATCAGAATCATGCAGATGGTTCATTTATGCATTTTCCTTCACTGTACTTGCAGAATGTGTGGATGGCAATTTGAAGGTAAAACAGAGGACTCCTCATTTATGGGTGAAGGAGGAGATGAACGAGTGCTTTGCTTTTAGCCAAGTGCTTTGTTTAATCATCCTCTGAATTACTTGATTGATGAAGACATTCAGATATGCTGAAGAGAAGGCCAATGGCTCTGAATGTATTGAATGGGCTTATCTCTTTGAAAATGTGTTTTGTGCCACTTATCTCATGTATTGGAGCAGATGTGGATAGTGTCTCTATTTTTTTTCTTTGTGTAGACTCTGGTCTTTTTGGTGTCCCACTGTCAGTTTTGCTGGAACAGGATCAGAAGAAAGTACCAGGCACCAGGATACCACTGATCTTTCACAAAGTGAGTAGGCATGAACAAGTCCGTTTGTTACAAACCTACTGGATTCCAGAAGTGATAGCATTTGTCCTGGATTCATATGCTCACTATAATCAAGTTTTTACAGTGACATACTATCTCTGTACTGTGAACCTCAAATGTAGCATTCAACTCCATTAGAAGGGACTTGTAGCTTTTATTAAGGGCGGTGCTTTGTACTATTAATGCACTAAATTGGATAAATGGCCTTTGTACAGTTCTCTACTCCACTAACTTACTTTAGTGGAGTTAGTGAAATAGAGAATACAATTCAGCAACTAATTATAAGTTGTTTACATTAGAAGTATTGTGAATTGCCATTGGCATGCTCCAGTGCTAGAGCAGAGTAATTAATTAGGACATCTAGTGAATTATTATTAGAAAAATACATTACTAAAGTGTATTAACTCAGCCATGATTTGGTCAGGGTTTACTAGTAAGCCCGTGAAACCAGATGTCCAAAGTCTAACACCATTCCAGGCCAAATTCTGTTTAGCAGGAGTTGTAGAAATGAAATCATAGGAGAATAGGCCGTTATTTTTCAAGACAAATCATTGAAGTTCTGGAGAGGCCTTTTAGAGGTTTTTGAGAGCTTTTTTATTATTTTCTCCCACCAAATCAAAAGGAAACTTCTAGTTATTTCCTATCCCTCTCTAGGCACTACTGCTACATCATTCGTGCCAGAAATGACATCTTAGGGACTATAAAAACCCAAACCAAACCAAAACACACTTCTGAAGAACAATTTTTTTACCTTTGATGTGGACAAGATTGTACCAAATGGACAGTAATAAAAAAAGAAAAAGAAAGTCCCCACATCCTCCAAATAGGTCTTCACCCTACTCCACTACAAATGACATATACTGGTCACTACACTATACCATCAATATATTCAGTATAGTTTTTCAGGAAGAAAGTTCTACATAAACATTTCTAGCAAATATACTTAATTTATTTGCTGTGTGATCTCATCTTGATTATAATATTTTTTTGTTTAAATGGGGAAATATGTGAATGGATTTTCCATTTCTCCCTTCTCATTTCTGCATCACATCCACTACTGGACTTGGGGGTTCATAACAAATTAAGAGAGAACATTTTCAGGCATTTTAAAACATTGGTTGCACATCACTGAAACAAACCAATTCAACAGGAAGATTTTTTTAAAATAGGCATCAATTTTGTAAAAATTGTAAAAAGCCCACTGAAAGGCTTCTGACTCTAGCCATCACCTCCCCTGAGTGGAATCCTGCATCTCACTCCCCTCTGACCGCAGATATAAGGCTGCACCGCTCCCTGACCTATACTGTGATACCCCAGCAAGCCAGACTGCCTAACAGGCCAGCTCCTCCACTTTGTTTTCTCTCCAAGAGCTATGCCCAGTGTATTGCCCGTAGTTACAAGTTAAGTTACTGCACAGCTCCTTCTAAGCAACCACATTTATTCTTATGGTAAGAGCGTTACAGAGAAAACATTAAAACAATAAAACATCCTGGAAAGCTTACCAGAGGTCACCCCAACTCCAACCTTAAACACCCACAACTAGGTTTCCTCCATGGTTATGACTTCATCCATCTTACATCCAGAACCAGAACAGAGGCTGGGCAGATGAACCATTTCTTTATACAGCTCAGGCCTTGGGTCCTGGCCTTCTGTAACAGGTAATAGGTAGACAGTGACCTTCTCCTCAGGCATAGCTTCAACAGGCTGGGTTTTTGCATAATAGGAGTTGGAGAATTTGCATTAACCTCTCCCTAGGGATTTCCCAGGAAATCCACTTCATATTTATTGTCCAAAAAGTCCATACTTGTCAGACACATTTTCAGTATTGTCTTCTGAACTCTTAGGTATCACATCTATCACATCTCCCCCCTAGAGAGGTTACATATAATCCCAGCCCAAAATAATACATAAACTTAACACAAGAAGGTCTTCCAAGAATCTTGCAGGAAATTGCCATATCAGTCACATACATGATATATAGTATAAATCTTTTACAGTGATTGTTCTAGTTCATCTAAGCCATGCATAGGATTAGCAATTCATTTGAGTCTGTTATGAGTCCATCAGTATTAGTAAACCTGAAGCCTTTTCAGTGATTGCAAGCTCTTAGATCTTCCTTGGTAAAGTGGTAAATGACAGTGTACATGGAAGTTAATATAGAGTCTTTCGTACTACAGTAAATAGTTTTTATTAGTGCAGATTTTTAGTGTGATAAGCAATTGGTGGTTTACTTTTGAAATCTGAATAATTCCCTATCTCTGTAGAAAGTGTTGTCTTTACATTTTCCCTTTTAAAAAAATGCTTAATAGTGTACATGAAAAATAAAGGAGCAGTATCAGGTGTTCCTTGTAGGACACATATAATTATATCCATGATAATCCACTTTGCAATCATTTGTATTCAAAAACAGATTTCACTGTTCTATATTTATCTCCCAGTAACGTTTTAATTCGCACGTTGGCTTCATGCAGCTTGGTTCTGTTTATTGACAGCTGATTTCTCAGATAGAAGAGGCAAGATTGGATACAGAAGGACTTCTTCGAATACCAGGAGTAGCAGCAAGAGTAAAGGTAAAATATTGCATGGACTCAAAACCCTGAAAGTCTAGACTCATTTGCTGTTTTTACTTTTGTCTTGTTAACACTTTTATAATGGCGAGATTGGCAATGAAATCTTAATAAAACTACATACAAACCGATTTGATTTAAACTAGCCAAGGAGATGGTATTTTGATCCAGATTACATTTGGGGAAGAGGTCAGGAGGTCAGGTTTGAGGCTGAATCAAAGCTAAGGTTCAGATTCTGCTGTGCCAAAATCTCATGAATTGTTCTCACAAGGTTTCCAACCTCTTTGTCTGCACCTGAACCAGGTGAGCCCCCTGAGCCAGATGACTAGTGGGCTGCTATGTAGGCTGTATGCCACTGGAGGATAATATTCCCTGGCCTAATTAGGTCATTTTAAGGGCGAGATTCAACTTGTAGAATAGTACTACACAGCCAAATTGCATAGAGAATCTCTCCCATTATCTCTACAAATAGCATTACTAACTGCTCAGGTCACTATTCACAGTCTCTGTTCACATTACAGAGTGACTACCAACTACACACAAACCATAACTCAGTATTTGCTTTAATGCAGAAAACCAAATACATGGTATGATTTACACCAAGATGCGGCCTGTTATAAGAATGGTCTAAAGAAACCTTAAATTCTAAACAGAAAGAACATTTAAATGGATTCAGCTGCCTCAAGATATCTGCCAGCCTCTGTCATGTAGAACTTTGTCCAACAGCTGCTTCATTAGAAACAACTGAAGGAAAAGAATATTATGGAAACTGGCTTTGTTGATTTACCAGTAACTAAGATGCTTCATGACTTTGGTTAATACTTAGTTTCCACTTTCCAACAGTTTCACATTTTGGGGGTGATTTTGTTTGTTTTTTATTTTGTTTAATCCGGGGAGTGTTTCCAGATAAGAGATCATTCACTAAGTAACTGCAAAAATAATGAGGATCAAACATGTGGAAGAATTTCTCCTTTGAATGAACCTATTGCTTTTGTAAAACAATGAGCATGATAAATGTTTTACCCAAACAGTAGAGAATTTAACAGAAAATAGTACTCTGTGGTTTCTTTGAAATTTTATTATCCTCTAGAAATCAATAGAGAATTATAGAATAATTTTAGAATTCTATCGGCTGGTACAGAAAATCTCCAGTAAGGAAATAATGGTGTGGGTTGGTGCTTCCTTTTAAATTCTATAGCAATTTTCCTTTAGGGTGGACAGTTTAAATTTCATCTGTTATGCAGCACATTTGCCTGTCTGCTAAAATGCAATCTTTTTATATACATGTATAGTCCCTCCCCCAGGGTGTGGCTGAAGTGCTTCCCTTTTCCTGGTGCTTGTTATCACCCACATCTGGAATGGCTTCTCCTCTCTCCTGGATTGGTCGGGTCCTGGATTCTTTTTCTTGGTGCCCAGGTGCCTCCAGGTCTCCTAAGCCATCCAGTAGTCCAAGAAATTAATGGAGTGAAATCTGAAGCAGGAGGCACAAATCTGGAACAGCAGCTCTGTGATATGCTCCCACTCCTTCTGATCCCCCCTGAAGACTCTCCGGTATGGTTGTCAAAGGGTCGTGATGACTAAAGCAGCCTTCCCACTTAGAACCACGCAGTTATATCTGCATAAGACAATGCTGAAGCAGTCAGTGTTACTAGATGCTGCTTACTCTCCATGCTGTAGAACCCAATCCCCAGCTCAAAACAAGGGCAGGTTTAAGCTCCAAAACTAGTGAAAACTCCCATGGGAGCCATTCAGTCGGGACTTGAACATCTGTGCACATGCCTCATGATTGGTTGGAGATTCTCCACAGATGTCAGGCCATCCACAGGTTTGGATATTTCCTTGTGCTGCAAGAGGAAGAGGGGGCCAACTTTGCCTCAGCAGAAGGTATCGGTAGGAGACGCTTTGAGTCTCAACTTGCATAATTATCTGGCTCTTATCAGGCTCTTTCCTGAACAAAGTATTATATGACCTGAGGAAGGACTGCAGGATTTGGCCCTATGGGTATGCCAGTGCCCTGGGAACAGCTATGTTGTCTGGTGCCTATTAGCATTTGGTTTTAGCGAGATGCACACTTCTAATACTTCTGGTCCAGAGTTTATCTTTTTGTAGCAAAGTAGCAATAGCTGGTGGTGCTTGAATGATAATTTCAGATGTCTTTTTTTCAAAGGTGGAAAGGATGCTATATGGGAAATGCACAAATCTTCCACCAGCATGAATAAAACTCCTCATTGAAGGTACTTTCTGTTCTGCTATCTTTCAGAGTCTTTGCCAAGAACTGGAAGCAAAGTTTTATGAAGGGACTTTCAACTGGGAAAGTGTAAAGCAACATGATGCAGCAAGTCTTTTAAAACTCTTCATCCGAGAACTGCCTCAGCCACTGCTCACTGTGGAATATCTCAAAGCTTTCCAGCATGTGCAGAGTAAGCAGCGTCCCTTCTGGGTCTCAGATTTACAGAGGCGACACCACAAACAGCAGCGTCTTAAACACAGAGAAGGGAGTTATCTCAACAAATACACCTTTGCTGTGAAACCGTTTTCACAAACAGTATGTGAGCCTGAACAATACATTAAATAGTAACAGGATTAATTCTGTCTAGAAAAGATTGGCTGTTGCTCATTGGCTGGTGTTCAAATGAGACATTTTTCGCAGAACATTCATTTATTAGCACACATGGGAAAGAAAACACTCAGATTTATATAATAGTATTTGGGAAACACTAGGTGAATTATAAGGCATTATCTGCTAGCTTGAGCTAGAATTCGAGTTTTGCCCCAAAACTGACTCCCGTCCATGCACAGAATTCTCTAGCTTTAGTTAAGTGGTGCTTTATGCTAGAGCTAGCTGGCTTGTCCAGGAGATGTGGGTTGATGCTCAAGTGCTGCTGACACCTGAGCTAGGAATGCAGTGGGGATGCAGTAGCTCGAATAGCAACTTGCCATCTGCTGAGCCAATAACTCGGTGTAGCACAAGTGTTGTTTTTCAGTGTGGTTGCTCGTCACTGGAACTAGGCTAGCTTGACTGGGGTAACTCAAGCTCTCTGTTTCAATGAAACAAGCCCTAAAAAACTACAGTTAAGGTAGTAGCAGTTTATAAATGATCATTCTCTTTAAATAAGCAACAGGGAGGAAGTTACAGTTCAGCAGGAAATCAACCAGAAGATAAAATATGCTGCTTCTGCTAATATTTGGAGGATAGTTGGTATCTATCTGCCAGAAAAAAAATCAGAGCTGTTGATTGCCATCAGTTCCCCAATAATCAGCCAGTTACTGTGAGAATCTACTCTAATGTAGCCTATTGACTAATAAAGCAGCAATCTGGGCAAGAACACACATCAGTTGCTTTAAAAAGAGAGTGTGTGATACTGATTTTGCAATTCCTTAGAAGTCCAGCAGGCGTGGGGAGCCCCTCTTTTATTAAATCCTCCAGCCAATGCAGGAGGGATTCTGACAGGTTTCAGATGAATCCATTTCCTGTTGTCCAGGACCAGAAGAACTGGTCACTTTTGGAGGAAGCCATTAAGAGGATCCCAAAGGGTCGAGAGAGCAAGAGAGAGAGACACACACACATGATATCTTTTCACATGTCACAGGAAAGTGGCCCAGATTGCAGAGCACACATGACACAAAAGTCATGAGGGGGTAAGGATAAGGGTTTAAGCTACCTTTGTGCACCCCTTATTCTGCAGACAGTGAGCTATAGGCCAGTTCCTAGTTGAAACTTAGAGTTGCCCCTGGGATGCTTTAACTTGTGTGGGCTGCCACTACCCCTTGGGGGGCTGTTCCAACAACCAGGAATTGCTGGGAACTAAGAAAGCTCATGCTCAAATAAATTGGTTAGTCTCTAAGGTGCCACAAGTCCTCCTTTTCTTTTTAAGAAGGCACTGTCCATGTCCTTGTTCCACTAGCCATGCTGGCAGCCAGGAGAGGGTCATATAGGAGCTCTATGATGGCTCTACCACATCCAAGGAATCCTCACATGATTAGATTAGGTCCACAACATATAAGTCTGTTTTATGCCAAGGATGATGGTGCAAAATAGACTAGAGGATCATTTGTTTGCGTAACTATTTATTTTAAATTTGCCTGTCTGTTCTGCAGGTTCATGTACAATAAAATAAGTGCAATTGTTACAGAATAGGAACATCATCATGACAGTTATCAACACCATTGCAATACTGCTATTATCACTACTGTTATCACTGCTGGGTCACTGCTGCAACTGCTGTTGCTCGTCAACATTACGTAGAAAATCTATGAACAGGATAAACTTGACATTTTACAAGAAAATTTAACTTAAAATCATGCTTTTTTTGGAGGAAAAAAATAAAACTTTTAAAGAAGTGAGATGTATATGCTTCCTTGGCAGATCTTCCAACTAAGAAGCATCAACTGCAAGCATTGAATCTTCTGGTACTACTCCTACCTGAAGCAAACAGAGACACTTTGAAGGTTAGATTGGTTATTCACTTTTTAAAAACAAAGTATGCATTAGAAAAGTGAGCTTATTTTTTATGTACCTATTGTGAAAAGTTCAAGTACCTTTTAACATTTTAACTAACTGGTTGTTACTTTTTTCATATTTGCGGTAACTTAAGACAGAGAATAAAATTTTCAAAAGTGTGTAAGTGACTCAGAAATCTAAGTTTCATTTTCACAAGTGACTTGAGCACTTAGGAGTCCAAGGTTATGTCTACACTGCCGTCCCAGACGTGATTGCAGCTTGGGTGAACATACCTGCGCTAGCTTTACCCTAGCAAGCAAGGCCAAGAATCGCAGTGTAGATGCTGTGGTGCAGGCTTCAGCAATGCAAGTAGGTAGCCACTGCCCTTGGTTGGCTTGTAGACGTCACACTGAAGTTCATCTGCATCTACACAACTATTTTTGGTCACGCTAACGTGGGTATGTCTATCTGAGGTGTAATTGCACCTCAGATTGCAGTGAAGGCATACCTTTCGTCTCACTGAAATTCTGCGGGACTTAGAGTCCTAAAGTGCCCAAGTCACTTTTGAAAATGAGACTTGGGCTCTTAAATCAATTAGGTGTTACAATCTAAATACCTTTAAAAATCTGGGCCTTAAGTACTTCTGAAAATTTTACCAGAGATTCTAATAATAATAATCTTGTAATGAACCACCTCTCCTTCAAACTTCCTAATCACAATCCCAATTCAGTACCTTTTCTGCAGCAGCTGTTGCTGGTTTACATGGCAAAAACTATTTTAGAATATCATGGAGATAAAAAGGAAATAAACTCACTTGAATGTGATGGGTGGGGTTGTTTGACTATATCCCAATTTTTTATCTGTACTGTTTATGTTCCCCTTCTGTGAATTAGGATTTCCCCTGGATACCAACTGCCCCCATTGCTCTAAACCTTCCAGATCACTTTGCTGTTTGGTTCTGTTTTCCTCTGCGAAGCTTTGGTTTTGGTGACTGTTGAGATTGCACCAGACAAAGAAAAATTTTAGAAGAGCTGTATATGGTGCAGAGTTGCTTGGATAGGTGTTTTTTTTTCAGTCTAGTTTGACAAAAACACCACTGGAAATGCACAGAGGCTGGGCTAGAAATAGCTGAAAGTGTCATTGCTTAGAGACTGGCAGGTGCTTTGTCCCTGAGACAGAAGCAGTTCCACTGACTACCTGTGGTTCACAGAGCACTGCTCTACTCCTCTGTGGTCTGCATGACTGGAGTAAATAAAGATGGGTTTCAGCACAGCTTCGGGTCCCAGAGCCCGGGCACCAGACTGAGCCCAAATGTCTACACTGCAGTTAAACAGCCCCCTAGCCCGAGCCCCATGAACCTAAGTCAGCTGGCACGGGCCAGCGGCCTGTGTCTAATTGCAGTGTAGACATACCCTTAGATCCCTTTGAAAATTTTACCCCAAAGCTAAGGTAGAATGAAGAATGATTTACTTCTTCACACTCTCAGCTCTAAGTCAGGGTTTGACCTCATCAGTAAACACATCTGCACTTTCCATCGTTTGCTTTTTTTTTTATAAACTTTTTTTTTAACAAGAACATAAAAAGCCTTTTCAAAGAATACATAACATGAAGCTTCACTCCATATGATTTTTTCACGTGCAGAACTTGCCTTCAAGTGCTTCTTTCGTTTCAGATACTGCTTGAATTCCTCCAAAGGGTAATTGATCATCGAGATAAAAATAAAATGACACTAAATAATGTTGCAATGGTGATGGCCCCAAATCTCTTCACGTTTCATGGGTTAGGCTCAAAGACTATTGAACAAAGCGAGTTTGTTATGGCTGCTGGAACAGCAAACGTCATGCGTTTTATGATTAAGTACCAAAAACTTCTTTGGACAGTAAGTTTGTTCTTTAAAAAAATATGCATTTTTACAAAATCACAATCAAATCATCATTGCTTTCAAAGAACAAGGAGGCATCTGAACCCCTACCAGCGATGCAGGGGTGAGATTGACATGCTGGGGGGGGGGGGGGGGGGGGAGAGGCAGCAAAGGGCACAGCTGGGCCCTAACTGATGGGTAATTCTCAGTGAAGTTACACCAATGGTAAAACCATTGTAGATGAGAGCAAAATTAGATTTTTTCAGTCTTACTATTAATGTGAGATATAGACTATATATCTATGTAGAATACCTGATCTCAAAGATAAGTCTTCTGGGATGCCTGTGTATAGTCTATAACAATGACCTATCTCATGAGTAGTTTTCTCTTTTCAACCTCAAGATCTTTGTCTCCTGTTTTGAAATTTATTTCTGTATAGGGCGTGTCATTGTCCTTTGAGAAAATTAGTTGTGTCATGACAGTCCCCATGAAAGACCTACAAGCAGGATGTAGCTCATCCCTGTGAAATTTGGGGCTTTGTTTTCCACTAGCTACCTTAAAAAATCTCCAGTCTCCTCCAACTGTCTCACACTTACAGAATTATTATGGGGCAAAATCTGTAATACAGATTCCTTGTTTAATATTTTTTGATTCAGGGAAGTAGAAACACTATGTGAGGGCCCAGTTCTGCCACTCATACTCATGTTGAGACCTTACTCCTTAAATAGCCCCACTAATTTCAACTCTAGCAGATCCCAAATGTGGGGTCAAGGCCTTAGATTGTTTATGAGTGTTTGTTACTGGAAATAAATATTAGCTTTTGCAAGTCCCATCTGACAGCATGTCTCTTAGAAAGTTTTGGTAGGTGTGTAGTATTTCAAGGAAGTTATATGTGTGTTACTAATTAAGATGTATATTCTTTCAGATTCCTAAATTTATTGTCAACCAAGTGAGAAAACAAAACACTGCATGTCAGAAGAAGGAGAAAAAGGACAAAGCTATGAAGAAACTGCTGAAAAAGATGGCTTATGACAAGGAAAAACATGAAAAGCAAGACAAGAGCCCCAATGATGTAAGAAATAGGCTCTTGTCAAATCATAGTTATTGGGCCAAATTCTCCTTTTACTTAGAATGAAGTGAATTGATTTACCTAGATGTAACTGAGAGGTGACTTTCAATTCTTGGGAGTCCAACTAGACACACCTTAAAGGGACCTGCTTTTCAGAAAGTGCTAGGCACCCATCCTGTGAAAATCAGGTGTTTTTTCAGTTTGGATACTCAAAAAAACAAGCACACAAAATCACTGGACACTTCTGAAAAGCTCATCCTGAAGTATTGTCTTCTTCTTTGTGTTTATATATCCTAATAACATTTAACATGTGTTCATAATTATCTTTTAGCGAATAGTACAAACACTCAATTGAAGACTGTTAAACTTCCCAAAATATATATTATGATTGTTGCTGAATATGCACAGAATTGATTGCATTTCCAGGTAGAATATATCTTTTCTGCTGCTCTTTGAATTTTCTGGGTACATTGTCGTGGTTCCAGCACAATGTTAATTGATGGTGAACCATAGAGGAGTGCAGTGGAAGGCCACCACCAAAAGCATAAAGTCTATGCACCACATTCTTCTTTATAATAATTTCTTTATATGAAGCTACACTCAGCAACTCTATGTAGTGCATATTATTCAGTTCTTGACACTACCAGGTCAGATGGTAGTCATGTTGGAATGTGATCACAACTGACTTACAGCCAATAACAAGAGCAGTGAAAAACCTGTCAGGCACTGTAATACTATATCTGGGTGGGGAAAGGAAAGGGATTTTTTAAATCTAGTAGACTTAAAACTTTAAAACAGGGATGAAGACAAATTGTCAAGTTGTTAGGTAACTGAATATAAAGTAGAACCTGTAGAAGAAAACAACTCTTATAAAACTACTGTCATAGAATCATAGAAGATTAGGTTTGGAAGAGACCTCAGGAGGTCATCTAATCCAACCTCCTGCTCAAAGCAGGACCAACCCCAACTAAATCATCCCAACCAGGGCTTTGTCAAGCTGGGCCTTAAAATCCTCTAAGGATGGAGATTCCACCACCTCCCTATGTAACCCATTCCAGTTCTTCACCACTCTCCTAGTGAAATAGAGTTTCCTAATATCCAACCTAGACCTCCCCCAATGCTCTTTGTTCTGTCATCTGCCATCACTGAGAACAGCCGAGCTCCACCGTCTTGGGAACCCCCCTTCAGGTAGTTGAAGGCTGCTATCAAATCCGCCACTCACTCTTCTCTTCTGCAGACTAAACAAGCGCAGTTCCCTTAGTCTCTCCTCTTATGTCATGTACCCCAACCCCCTGATCATTTTCGTTGCCCTGCGCTGGACTCTCTCCAATTTGTCCACATCCTTTCTATAGTGGGGGCCCCAAAACTGGATGCAATACTCCAGATGTGGCTTCACCAGTGCCGAATAGAGGGGAATAATCACTTCCCTTGATCTGCTGGCAATGCTCCTACTAATGCAGCCTAATATGCATTAGCCCTCATGGCAACAAGGGCACACTGCTGGCTCATATCCAGCCTCTCGTCCACTGTAATCCCCAGGTCCTTTTCTGCAGAACTGCTTCTTAGCCAGTCGGTCCCCAGCCTGTAGCAATTCATGGATTCTTTTGTCCTAAGTGCAGGACTCTGCACTTGTCCTTGTTGAGCCATCAGATTTCTTTTGGCTCAATCCTCCAATTTGTCTAGGTCACTCTGGACCCTATCCCTACCCTCCAGTGTATTTAATTCTCCCCCCAGCTTAGTGTCATCTGTGAACTTGCTGTGGGTGCAATCCATCCCATCATCCAGATAATTAATACAGATGTGGAACAAAACCAGCCCCAGGACTGACCCCTGGGGCACTCCGCTTGATTCCGGCTGCCAACTAGACATCAAGCCGTTGATCACTGCCTGTTGAGCCCAACAATCTAGCCAGCTTTCTATCCATCTTATAGTCCATTCATCCAATCCATACTTTTTTAACTTGCTGGTAAGAATACTGTGGGAGATGGTATCAAAAGCTTTGCTAAAGTCAAGATATATCATGTCCACTGCTTTCCCCATATCCACAGAGCCAGTTATCTCATCATAGAAGGCAATCAGGTTGGTCTGCCCTTGGTGAATGACTTGCCCTTGGTGAATCCATGTTGACTGTTCCTGATCACCTTCCTCTCCTCCAAATGCTTCAAAATGGTTTCCCTGAGGACATGCTCCATGATTTTTCCAGGGACTGAGGTGAAGCTGACTGGTCTGTAGTTCCCTGGTTCTCCTTCTTCCCTTTTTTAAAGATGGGCACTATATTTTCCTTTTTCCAATCGTCCAGGACCACTTCTGATCACCACGAGTTTTCAAAGATAATGGCCAATGGCTCTGCAATCACATCAGCCAATTCCCTCAGCACTCTCGGATGCATTAGATCTGGACCCATGGACTTGTGCATGTCCAGCTTTTCTAAATAGTCCTTAACCTGTTCTTTCACCACTGAAGGCTGCTCACCTCCTCCCCATACTGGGTTGCCCACGACAGCAGTGTGGGAGCTGACCTTGTCTGTGAAGACCGAGGCAAAAAAAGCATTGAGTACTTCAGCTTTTTCCACATCATCTGTTACTAGGTTGCCTCCCCCATTCATTAAGGGTCTCACACTTTCCCTGATGTTTTTCTTGTTGCTAACATACCTGTAAAAACCCTTTTTGTTACCCTTCACATTTCTTGCTAGCTGCAACTCCAGTTGTGTTTTGGTCTTCCTGATTACACCCCTGCATGCTCGAGCAATATTTTTATACTCCTCCCTACTCATCTGTCCAAGTTTCCACTGCCTTAATATTCCATCCCATTGTATTCCCAGATACAGAGTACAATTTGGCTTCATATTCATTACAGCACCATCTTCATTAAGCAACCAATTTTTGTCAGTCCCAGAAGTGATTGCTAAGGATAGATTTCAATGTAACAGCCACTCAGCATAAACACATTATGATTTTAAATTGCATGTGGTTTTTGGAGAATTTTTTTCCTGTTGGTCTGTAAAAATTGGATCTGCTAATTGGATTGTCAATCTTAATGTGGGGTGTTTACTCAAACACACCTGTTGCATCATTATTTCCAATTAGTTAAATATAACTTACTTTTTAGTTTATTTACCAGTGAAATCTACTTTATTAAATTTAATGCATCTGAAAGAGATCCTCTGAAGGCAAGAGGTATTTTAAACACACAACCAAGTAACACCAAATATGTGATTCCCTTGTATCATAATGAATAAAAATTGGGCTTGGATGACTATGAACAGATCATCTTCTTTAGCAGAGGTCATATTCCAGATTTCAGTGAGCTAGAGACATCTTGTGGAAGGCTGTAAAACTGCACTGGCCTGAATTGTCTGATTTCCTATTTCATTTGTAGCTGTGGGCAAGCTTTGATACATAAGGACTACAGTTTTCTAATGTAAGCAAGTTTATCAAGGCCATTAGGCCAAAAATTAGACCTGTCAACTGTTTGATTTATGCCACATGTGTATGTTGCAACATCCCTCTGATCTTCCTGTCTGTTTTGTTCTTTTGTCTTGGGTAACAGGATTTCTGAAATGTATTAGTTTTCTCGCAGCACACTGTAGCATAGGATTCATGTGTATACCAGTTCCCTATTTTCTCACAGGAATAGAACAGGCAGGCAAACTGGAGAGAGGCTGAAAAGAATTACACATAAAAATCCATGATCTTGTACAAAATCACAACCCTGGGGATTTGTTGCAAGGTGATGTAACGGAGAAGTATATACTTTTCCAAGAAAACAACCCCTAATTTGTGTAATTTAGAGATTTTTTAAGGCCAGGAAAAGTTGAAGTACACATTTGACATTTAAAGGTAGGTGAAATAACTTGCCAGTTAAACTTAGATGTCCACTTCTTCACAGAATTAAAAAACTGATGGTGTATTTGCAAGTCAGCCATAATTTAGGAAGTAGAAATATATCAGTAACTAGTTATATTGGGATATTAAAGTCCTCTCCATACAGTCACCCCAAGAATACCTATCTGAAGAATGACCAATTTATTTGAGCATGAGCTTTCGTGAGCTACAGCTCATGCTCAAATAAATTGGTTAGTCTCTAAGGTGCCACAAGTACTCCTTTTCTTTTTGCGAATACAGACTAACACGGCTGTTCCTCTGAAACCTATCTGAAGAATGGTCATTGTGCGACATTCTTTGCAAAAGTGTTACCTCTAGAGATGGTTGCTCTGGGATCAGTGTTGTAGCACTAACAAATCAGCATTTCAAAGTCCTGTATAGAATGGCTCAGAAGTGGCATTTGGGGGGCATAGTATTTGACTGCATTTCTGCCATTAGGCAAAAGCTTAGTCTTGATCCTGCAAACAAGTGGATCAGTGCAGACCCTTGTATACAATGAACTCCATTCAGGTAAAAGACTCTGTAACATTGCATCTGTATTACAAGATGGGGGCTAGGGTTTTCAACATTTCTTACCCATATTCAGAGGGCTGATGCAGGATTTGAAACATCTCTGACCAGAACACAATTTCAAAACAGACTGATTCCTCAGACAGTACTCAACCTTCCTTCCAAATACGCACGCAAACAGTGTATCTGTTTCCATCTATTTATCTTTTAAAATGGAGATAGCCAAACATTAACATGTAATTCCTTCACACTGATCATTTAAAATGGGAAGATTAATGGCATATAGATTCTTTGAAAACAGTTCAGTACAATTAGGATGTTGGCACCTCAAGGAATGTTGCCATCATCTGCTGCAATACAGAAAATGCAGCAGAATATAGTGAAGTAGTTAAATCAAACAATATTTTTAGATCTTTTTTATTTTTAACTGATGTAATTTGGTGGCACTGAGCATTTACAGTCAAAAACATCTGTCTCTCACCCCCTGCCCCTCCCAGGCCATTTAAGAATTAGGACTGAGGTTTCATGTAACGGATCATAACCCAGCTGTAAATATGCTTGTATTATTTCAAGCATCAGCTTTAAGTCTGAAAAGGCTCTATATAGGGTTACTGAAAAATCTAATTTCAGTTTATTTCATAAATCCTTTTTACCTGTAGAAGGCATTCCATAATATTTGATGCAGGGAAGCACAGTATTCATATTTGGGTATCTTATATTATTCAGACTTGTGATTGTAATGTATAGCTCCTGATTGCAAGAAGGCATTTCATGTAGTGATATGTCTGGACTTGTTCTTTAGAATACTGAAATAACTGAGATAACTGTAGAATATTGAGATTTCAGGATTCTCAGGAGCACATCTTTAATTGTCCATCTGTTTCCTTGTTTGCAGCATTAGACTTCCAAATAAATGGGGCTAACGTCTACACAATTTACATACCAGGCAGTCCCACAGAAGTCAGTGTGTGGGTTATAAGTTAACCCTATAATTTTAAAATTACCTTAATATGTGCAGGATAGTTTCTAAATGGCAGTAGTGGCTTTTTTATCTAAGTGGCTTTTTTATCTATGGCCTGCATGTGGTGGATTATCTTCACCTTTCTGCAGAGCATATGCCCTATGCACCATTTAAGTTCCACTCTCAGAATAGGGGCTAAGTAGGACTTAAGTGTTAGACAGGCTTTGCTTTAATGACTACTTCTTATAAGCTCCTGAGGGTTATTTGCTTTCCAAAACATCCATATTTACAGCTGTGTGGGCCAGATCCATGGCTCTGGTTAAGTCTCCTTACTGTTATGGTGCAAGGACCAAGCTGGACTTGAAATCTGCTTTAGTCAGACAACTGGGGGCTTCCTCGAGGTAGGAAAACCCTTAGGTGACATAACCAGTTTTATGTCACCCACTATCCCATCCCTCTTGGCATACGGGCCATTACAGGGCAGAGAGGGATCATGTCACAGGCAGGACAGAGCAGTCCTTGGCTGCATAATGGTCCAAGGTAACTTAGCTGTATGCTAAGTTGTTGTAGCGGTGTCAATCCTAGGATATTAGAGACAAGGTGAGTGAGGTAGTAGATTTTATTGTACCAACTTCTGTCTCTCTCACCGATAGAAGTTGGTCCAATAAAAGATGTTGCCTCTCCCACCGTGTCACTCAAGGTAACTTGTAGCGGCCAGTTTATCCCATGATGAACCTCAGAGATGGGGAAAGAGAAAGATATCTTAAAGCCACTTTTGCCTTCCCTCTTTTCTATCAGCTGCATTGAACATGGGCTAGGTGCAGCTGAGGATCGCTCTCTCCACAGGTAGGGTATCCTGAATGTAGGTGTGGTTGAACATGAACTCCTCCAAGAAATTTAGGAGTTGAAGATGATGATAGGTGCATTTTCCTTAGCTATGAAACAAGTTTTCCATTTGACCTATGACCTTGATGTCACAATATTGTGGAAATTCTTAACACACTTGTTCCCACTCACATAATCAAGCCAAACAGTTTTCACACACATCCATCATATGCCCGATGAGCAAACAAATTAATCACTATGTATCCAACTGAATACGAAAATGAAGGCTGATTTAAATTTACTGTGCAGAACACAATGAAAGGCTATTCAGGATAATAGCCTTTCCACCCTCAGAAGATTGCTCCCTTGTTGACAGTGAATATGTTCATAACAGTTTTGAAGACAGGCAAGAGCTATTTAAGCAAGAGCTAGTTAAATTTGTGTATACAGTTTGACAGATACTTATAGTCATGATCACTGCTAGTAGTCTCTTGCAAACTCTTGATCCACCAGTTGTAAATTCTTTAGACATGACTAGGTGTTAAATCCAGCAGTTCAATTCTGAGAGTTGTAACATACATGAAAAGACTGTGAAAGTAGCTGGGGTACAGCTTAAGCTGTGATTGTTCTTAGTCCATTGGTTTAAGATCAGACTTATTTTATCACTGCAGAGCTCAGCACTGTGGTGCAATTAATAGTCTGATGACATTTGTACTCAGTAACCTATGGGTCGGATTCTGATCTTATTTATACTAGTTCTACACCACTCTAACTCTACTGATTTCAATGGAGTTGCTCCAGATTCACATCTGTGTACATGAATATTTCTAGGCTTAATTCTATAACCTCTGTACCTCTGATATTATTCACTGATAATGAATAACAAACATTCAGCTTTACAATCACAGTGTTTAGAAAAAAAAGAGAATTACCTCTCAGAACTCCTCATACTTCTTTGCAGTAACCCTGACACAAACTTCTTTTAACATCAAAACAAGGACATTTGGAACCAGGCAAATGGTAGTTTATGTGTACAGAAAAATTATCTAAATTCTCTAAGAACAGAAATTAGGACTGACTATATAAATAAATTATGCCTTCTTTTAATGCCAAATGTTAGTATTGTATATTGCATAGAAAAAGCAATCTTTTTTCTGCACTGATATAAATTTGATATTCATCACCATGGGATTTATGGATTGAAATAAAATATATCCATTATGTAGTCAAAAGTGCATGCTGACTAGCTGAACAAAATCTTGAGAACAAGAAAGGGAGGTTAAAAGCTGCACAAATGATTTGTGAGTGTCTATATATGAAAGGGAAAAGATTTTGTTAAAAAAATCAATTGAACAAATTATACAGATCTGTGAATACATTTGTAAAATCTTTTGTGAAATTCAGGTTAAAGGAAACTGGAAATTTTTGCCTGGCACTAGCGCATACAACATCTCCTTTCTGAATCTGGTTCATGTATTACTATATCAAACACACAAGCTTCATAACATGCTGAAATTGTCTCTTAATATAGCTATAATCGTTACTGTTATCATTCATAACATCTATGGAAAATAATTAAACATTACTGTTCTTTTGTTATAAAGTTCTCTATTGGCATTAAAAAGAGATTTGAGGGTCTGATGTAATTTAGTAAATTACAACGTAGTTAACATTTTTCTGCAATGATGTAGACAGTAGTTAAGCATACTTACAGAGCATTGTACTAAATTACTTATTCCATGCAGTATTTGGAGAAACTCATCAAAGCCAGCTGCTAGCAGCTTTGTTCCAATTTCATTATTGCTTTGCAGGCTGATGTTCCTCAGGGAGTGATACGGGTGCACGCGCCTCAGCTTTCGAAAGTTTCCATGGCAATACAGCTGACGGAAGAACTAAAAGCCAGTGATATAGTAGCCAGGTTTCTCAGCCAGAAGAGGTACAAATCCCTTTTTGTTTTACTAACATTTCAGAATAAGTGACTTTTAGTATTTCACAAAAAAAGTTTTAAAATAGTTTGACAAAAGAGCAGATATGGTTAACAATTAAAGTGAGTTCAGTGACCAGTGAATTTAGCCTGTTCAAATAAATGTTTGATGAACTAATGATTTGGATTGTTCCAAGAAGCACTTCTAATGCTCCTTACAGCCTAAATCCTTACATATTGAGGCCTTCAGGAATATGCCAAAGTGTAGTATGTTGGTAGAGAATTAATTGCTGTTTTGTCAGCTGGGTTAGGAATGGCATCCATGGAACACAGTAAGTTTTTATATCTTCCTGTGGAGAATTTAGCGGGGAACTCTAAGAAAAGAAGTCTAAGAGAAAAAGGAATGGGGAAAGAGAAGATAAACCCTTCAGGAAAAAACATTAATTCATATCTATATATACATAGATCTATGAGAGAGAGATACACACAGATGTAAATCAATATCTATATTTGGGCCTAATCCAAATTCCACTGAAGTCATTGGAAACTTAAATGGACTTTAACATCATTAACTTAGGTAGACTTTGGATCCTACTGTGTGTGTGTATGTGTGAGTGCGAGGGAGGTAATGCAAAGTAACTTTTCAGTTTCTACATCATTTATCTAGTTATTAATGATGATGCAGTAGCATTCCATTCTTCTTAAGATTAAGAATTTATTCTTATCTAAATTCCTTTTTTTAAAGGGGCTTATGATTTTGGCAAAACATTCTTTTCAACTGCAAGTTGGTACACCTCATCGCAATCAGATGAGGATTTTTATTGGTTTTGGAAAAAATTATGTTTGCCCCCCATTTAGTTACAGAAAAATAAGAAGGAAAATAAGAGCATGATTATGCCTTCCCCTACACATTCAGAGATATGAAATGTATGATGGGAGAATTCGTTTTTGCAGCAACAGTAAAAAAAAAAAAAAAAAAAAAATTCAGAGCAGAGCCAAAGAGCACAAAGTCAGGCTGCCACCAACTGTCAATAAAAAGATTAATCTTTTCTAAAAGTCTCAGTTCCTTAAAGTCTGATTTATTTTTCTTCTTTATAATTTACTATGCAGAATTACTCTTGTTTGCATTATCATACTGGTGTGATAGTCTTTTTCCTTTGTGTGTGTGTAGAGATGGGTAAAATAGAAATGTATAGATAATTTCTATGCATTGTCAGTTTCCTTAACTACCATCACATTTCCCAGGCACATTTAAGTGGTTTGATTGCAAGCTATTTGGTGGGATAGCTAATCATTTTGTTTTGTTCCTAACAGTGGAGTTGTCCAAGCTCTCAAGAAAGAAGAGGTATTTTTATATGAAATTGGAGGAAATATTGGTAAGGATGTTTTCTCAACAGATTCCCTTGCTGAAATGAGATTGCTTGGGCCTAACTTTGCCCTCAGTTACATCCACATGATCCCTATTGACTTCGCTGTGGAGGCAAAAGTTTGGCTGATAAAGTTTAGAATTAATTATGGGCTTGATTCATTCATTCCATGGGTTCACCAGTAGCTGCATGTTCATCCAGAGCCACCTGGTACAGCTTAAAAGATGGGCAGTGTTGGAAGGAGAGGGAGTAGGGGCCAGAATATTCACATCCAGAGGGTTCGTTTATTCAACACAGGCACCCTCTGCTGGCTTGGGTTCTATGGAACCCTGTCTAGGCTCCCACATGCAAGAATGTCTGGGGAAAGATCTTTTGTGCCCCAGGGTTGCATGAGCAAGGGTGCACATTGTATCACAGTCCTCGTTCACAGATGAATCAAGCCCCAAGTGGATAGTAAGAGGCAGGTCAAAAGCATGTAATAATCTATATCATGGATATCTGCTAAGTTGGCATTCCTGTTAGTATTTATTTGTGATGATTTGCATTTCTAAAATGTCCATCATCATTATATGAATGTTTTTACCCACAAGTTTATATACAAGGCATGTGCCCACCAGAAACTCTCCATCCATTCTTCCTTTTTCATAACTTCCTACTTGAAGGGCCCGACTCTCAGTGCCCCCCCCCCGTCCCCCGCCACATGTCACATATATTAGTATTACAGACACGAAGAAGGGAAGTCTGTAACTCACCCTAAAGATGGCCTCTGTCCAAGCCACAGTAGAAGCAGATTCCACCGTTTTATGCCACCTAAAGAGAACGTTCTGTCCCAGCCGCTACAAGTTATACCCTGGACAGAAGAGTCGTTACTGACGGCAGCTTCCGTGCCATTGTGAGGTGAGAGTGGTGGTCACTGAAGGAAGGAGCTCACCTCATTCAGGGCTTCGTAGATGAGGGCCAGAACCTGGAATTGGACCCAGAGCAGCACAGGCAACTAGTGCAAAGTTGGTCCGTCCTGTTCAGCAGTTAGGCCACTGAACACCTGACAAACTGTAATACCTGGGCAGCCTTCCTAGTATTTACCAGGTGCGCCTGATAATGGCAGTCCAGTCTGAAGGTGACGATAGCATGGCTCTCTTCTGGCAGGAAAGCTTACCATCGATTCCTGCCCAGTCATAGAGGAGGAAAAGTGGTTTTGAACATGGTTGCTATCTGGGTGTCTAGCAACAGACAAGAGTCCAAAAGCTTTGAGTGTGGAGAAGGGATGAGATCATGGTCACAGACTTTTGCATTTCTCTGAAGTGCTGTCTCCTGCCAACTGGCATCACTTCTGTTTTGCCTGGGATGAGCCTGAATCAGCTGCTTTTTATCCATGTCCCTAGTTTACTCCGATAAGGCGTCAGGGAGACTTTAGTGAGAAGGAAGGACAGAGCTGGTGTCATCAACATATAGGTGGCACCATAGCCCATAGCATCTTATAATCTCCCCTATAAGGAGAGAGATATTGTCATAGCTTCTCCTAATGATTTATTTTTAAAAATGAGAAATATTTAAGCACACTGAACAGTAAAACGGTCCTTATCTTCATGCTTAGTGTTTGAGCTTCCCTTACAACCTCCACTCCTGTGTTCCACATCAAACACAGGGGAAGTCACTGTCAATAGGAAAGATTCCCTGGCCTTCCCGTGATGCAAGTTTCCCAGCTCTGAATAACAGGCTATTAAAACAAGAGAGTGGCTTAGTATAATTAATGCCAGAACACCATTTTGAATGTACTAGAATTTTTCTTTAATGAACGAAAAGGTGTTTCTTTCTAAAGTCTACACTGAGAATCACTCTCTAACCACAAATTTTTAATGGGCTGAGCGAATTAAAAAATCATTCATGAACTAGACAACATGAACTAGATTTACTTTGTTTTTTCTATTAACTGTGGCCTGTTAAGTTTACCAAAATTTATAACTTTAAGCAAAAATTTAATACTTTTGTACTCTCTGCAGATGCTAACCTATTTTTTCTCTACCATGTTACTGCTTTAAAAATAGCTTAAACATTTACACCAAAACCAAAATCATTACAATATCAGCTTTTATTTACAATATGTTATAGACATGCTTCAGTTTTTCTAATACAGCATTGTAAGGGCAACTAGTCACAAAGGTTTTTATTCTGTGCCTAATGCCTGATTAAAAAATAATATTCATTTATATCAAATGACTGCACAGGTTCTCCATGTCTCTCTGCACAGATTCTCTGTATCTGTTAAGTAAGAATGTCTTCGCAGTTCCATAAGGCTGTTTTTAGGAGAGGAGCATTTGTTTATTTCACAGCAATATTAATATCATAGAAAAAGGCTTATAATTGACTTCAGTGGAACTGAGACCTATTTATTACTACGTCAGGTATATTGTGGTAGTATATAATGTATGTACATAAATAACACTGGGTTGATTTGCATGTATGTATGTAATGAAAGTATATAATCTGAGTATGCATATTTTGTAATACTGGGAAGCTCTGTGGGAGTGGGGCTGTGTGTGTGTGTGTGTGTGTGAGAGAGAGAGAGAGAGAGAGAGAAATGTTTACTGCTAATTTATATCTGGTTGCTTATTAGAAACTGGTTTATTGAATAGTCCCTCTACTTGAAATGTAGTTACTCTATGTGCTTGTTAAAGTGAAGATATGGCAAGCTGGAGATTTTCTGCAAGCTTGTTATGGCATTTGGTGGAATGCTGGAAGCCTCCTGAGTAATCCTCCTCTTTGCTAATAAACCTTTTTGATAATTGCATTTTATCACTCCCTATGTTTCCTACTTCTAATTACTGTAGCAGTTACTGTGGGGCTGGTGAAGAGAAGCTTCCTGACTTTAAGCTGCTGGGCAGGCAGACAGGCTGACTCTCTTTTCATTTGTTGTGTCCGGGCTCTTCTGCTCTTGGCTGTCATTTTCTTCATGACACAGCAAACTCATGCAGAGATTGCACAAAAGAGGAAAGAACCAACAGCTCACTATAAAATGCAGTAACATGACCAATATATTTAATTATTGATTGTCGCTGCTGAGTCTTTCCTCCTTCATGTATATTCCGTGCAGGGCTGGTAGCATCAGCAGGTTGCCTGACACTATCCATTATAAGACCCTGTTTTCAGTTGCTTATAGCTTTGCCAAACTTTAAAAGTTCGGGCTGAAATGTTCCATGCTGTGTGTCTGCCACAGGCTGATTTTTGGGGTGGGGGGGTGGGGAGGACGTGGGCAGGAGGCAAAGAGAGGGAGGAGAAATTTCATCCTAAATGGATAGGCTATTTCTGAGAACAACATTACAGAAAACTGCCTATGTTAACCTTTTCTTTGAGAAGCTCTTGTGCCTTCATGTTTGAAGTGGGGATTTGAAGTTTGGCAGGAGGGCAGCCTTTGTGTCAGGTACGTAGTGGTGGAATTAATGACTGTATCATAATGCGTGTGCACGGGGGGCTGAATTAAAGTTGCTCATGCAACCTTAATTCTGGCATTTCCTAACTTTTGAATGCTTGACTTTGCAACCTTAATAATATTCTTTCAGCGTAGTTTGCATATATAATACGTGTATATATAGCAGATGATTCCTTGAAGAACTTGGGAACATAGAAGACTACAACTCAAACAAGGCGACATATTCATGGTTCTACCTTTACTAATATTGACTTGCTGCCTTTCTAATCATTGCAGTACTCTTACGTTCATTTATGCTTAAATTATTATTTTCGTAACAGCTACTAGACATTAGACTAGGATAAAATATCAGCAGAAGTTAAACTGCTTTTCTCTCCATGATTTGACCTATCACAACACAGCTGTGCACACTGGATGCGAAGGAACTGTTAACAAGATCAAGACTGGTAAGAGCTGGGAGTGGGAAGGTGCACAGCTTTCTTGGTCAAAAGCCCCACCTCTTGAACTCCCCTCCAAAGGAATTGAAAATGATCATAAATATAACAGCCTTCAGATCTAAATGGAAAACGCAGCCTTTTGACTTATCCCCAATAGCATCAAATCCTCAGCTGGTATAAATCAGCATAGATCCACTGACGTCAATGGAATACCTCAATTTACATCATCCAAAGGATCTGACCTAATTATGGACAAGATAATTAAAGAATCCCACTAAGTACAGCCCCCCATGAGTCAGGGGGAAAAATAAGAGAGTAATTCTTGATGTCACTTTTCCTCTGCTTTGTTAGATACCATGGTGATGGGCACAGTATAAAAATCTAAATAGACTGGAATAGTTCTGTGAATGTTGAAAGTAAATTCCCTTTTTTTAGGTGTACTAAATCTAATCACACATCTCTTTTTGTCAGGAGAACGCTGCCTTGATGATGATACCTACATGAAGGACCTGTACCAACTCAACCCAAATGCTGAGTGGGTTATAAAGTGCAAGCATAGTTAAACTCATAACAAATTACAAAAGAAAAATCTGTGGACTGGACTTCGTAATACTGTGTATTCTAAAAGGACAGGATGTTGTTTTATCATTCAAATGCATTGTACTATTAAAGGAATATTGTCAAGCTTATTAAATCACTTACAAGTGGTTTCCACTAAGTTGGCAACATTTACCACTGTCACCATGCAGCAATATCTGAGATATTAGCTTTCCCCGCTATGCATATTTAGACTAAGCAGTGATTGCATGGTAACTGAAGTTAAATGTTGACTTTTCAGTGACAACCATTGTATCTTGATAATGGTTCCATCTGGCAGGTCTTATGTTCACATCTATAATCTTTTTGTGCGAGGGAGATCTATATTGTCTTTATTTATTTATGTGTTTTTCATAGCGCCTAGCATGGTGGGGAACCCAACCCTGACCGGGGCTTCTGAGTGCTACAGTAATATAGATATTAAATAAAAAGAATGATTCCAGAGACATAAACTTTCCTCAGTCACTGTGAGATTCAAAGTAGAAAAACTGTAATGTAATATATCCTGTCTCCGTCTCAATAAGTGTGCCCCAATTTTTTCCTTCCGGGGTACATTTTGATGAAAATTGGGAGCTAGTGACTTTTTTTGTGAAAACTTCTATTTCTGTCCAGCATTCCTGCTAGACAAACTAAGTTGCACACTCTTTTATATTATTGATCTAGTGGTTTGCTTGTATTCTTGATGGTAAAGAATTTTTAAATGGGACCACATGTCAAGGTGAGTCCATTTGAAAGCCTACAATCCTAAGTAGTGTCCTTTGTAATGTTGGAATATTAGCATCCAGTGTGAAGGCACTGAGCTGTTTTAGTGGTGCCATACAGGGACATTGTGAACACTGCTTTGGATTTTCTTAGACCATCTGACAGATTTCAAAACATTTTGCGAACTGCCAAAAACTGCCAAATTACTTACAAATTGCAGAACAGAAACATTCAGGATAAATAAAACAACTGTGGCAAGTAACTGGTCTGAAATTCACATTTAGCAAACTACCAAACCCCTCCTCCCCCCTTAGAGCATGTCTTCACTACAGAGTTAACCCAGGCTCTTATTTGGTGTTGCCGCTAAACTGGCTCCTGACCACATACAAAACCCTCTTACCCAACTATAGTGGTGCTTTATACCTGGGCTAGCTGGCCTATCCTGGGGTATAAGCTAAAGCCCAAGTTCTGCTTTCACTTGGGCTGGTAACCTGCCCACTTGGTAATGAGGATGAAGGCTAAACCACTTGAGAGCTGATAGTCCTTCAGTGCTGTCCCACAATTTTCCCCATGTCCCCAGAAGGACAAACAAGTCCCAAAAGTCACCGGGTGAAGAAACATGGGATATGCCCTTTAGCGTCACACACACGTGAGTGCAGCCCCAGTGGAGACCCAGTAACTTGAGTGTGGCTTTGCAGTGTGGCTACTCACCTGAGCTAGATCAATGCTGGTGCCACTCAGTTGATCTAACTCTGAAGCGAAAACACACCCTCTGCACCAAATTTTCCCTTTGGACACACATTGATTTCATTGAGTTCAAAGGGAGTCTTGTGTACATATCCAGGGGAAGAATCAGGCCTTTTGGACCTGATCAAACCCAATGACGTCAAAGGGAATCTTTTCAACGAGCTTTGGATCAGGCTCTCACACTGTATTATTCACAAGTGAACTTAAAATTACACGGTTGGAACTGTTGCATCTGCAACATAGATATGCAATAGAGTATAACTGTAAAGGTTATAGAATGTGTTCTTTATAGAAAGAGTTTTGTGCACATCTGCTGGTTAGTTATTCCATTTAGGTGAGACACACAACATATGAACAATTTATGTTTGTGTGCTTTTGGTATTCTTTTGTTTTTATTTTTAATCAAAACAGCAGAGAATATTGCAATGGGGCAGGAAGAATTGTTCCCAGGGATTCTATAACACAAGTCATCTTGTGGATAGAACAAAGACTATACTGTAAATACAAGGAAGGGAGTAAGAAACAAAAAAATGCTTGAGCAAATATTTATGAGTCTAGAATGTAATAAATATAAGGCAATTTAGATGTGTAATACAGCAAACTGTGTGTTCATAATACTTTAGCTATAGTTCTTTAAAAAACAGCTTACATGTTACTGGAACTCTAGATGTTATTTTAATCAGGAACAAAGTACTGATGAGAAGAATAGCTGTAAAATTTCACCCTGGTGGCTACGATAATTTAAATAACTTTGTTGCAGGTTTAGTGCCATTACCTTTTTTTTTAATTTAAAAATAATTTTTATAATCAATTTTTTTTTCTTAATTCTCTTATTTTAATTATTATGCTATAGAAATGTACACAAAAGCAATGCTGACTAGTTGTTGAATAAACTTTTTGTTTTGAATGCCTCACTTCATAATCCGTACGGGTAGTTTATAGCTTTGTGTATAAAAGAGATGTTTCAGATGAAAACTGGTTTACTTGGTATTTTTTCTTCTTATGAACACACTTAGTGTTTTACTGTATTCCATATTTCCTTATGTGTTACTTTTATGTGCCCTGTAATAGGCCACACAGCCTTGGAGGTTTGAATGCCCAATTGGATAACAGCCAAAGAAGGGACCTCGGTTTAAACAGGAAGATTATTTATTTATTGGGGTGCTCCATCTTAGTACTATACTGCAGTCTTGGTGTGGGTTTTGACCCACCAAACTACAATATATACTTACAGTGTATATGTAACGAAGCAGGCACCTCCAGCATTTCCTCTAAATACAATTCAAGACTTAACTGTAAAGTGTAGCCAGGGCATAAATGAAGACCAAAGAGCATGGGGGTGAGCTGATAAAATCCCTTTGTAATGAAAAGACCGTATCGGCATGATTGGTCAGCCAAAGTAATTTGGTAGTTGCCCTTCACTTGACTGAATCTGGCGATATACTGCAGTGCATCACCCAGATGAAAGGTTACTTCATCTAACCCTAGCATAAAATAGGTGACATGAATGAGACTTCCAGAATGCAATCGTCTTCCAGAATAATCGCTTCATGAAAGCACCACAGTGGGGGAGCAAGAGAACTGACCTACTTTTAGAAGATTTCCCACACCAGAAGATATGAAGTTCATACTTGGCACTTGTAGCATATATTTGCTGTAAACTCAACAGGTGGGAAAGGGGGAGAGGATGTTTGTTTCATGTTAGAAATGGGTCCAAACTGGAACTCCAAATCCAAACACCTCCACACTCTGTGGAGTTTTGAAATATGGATCTGAATTTTGCAGGTTGAGCTCATCTCTGCTTTAAATCCATTGATGATGGGAGAAATTTCATTTAGCCTGTTCAACCAAAGCTCATTCTGGTGCTTCCTAATTTAACCACACTCAAATAGTTTTTGAACAACAATAAGAGATCTGGATATAATTTCCTTAACATTCACACCATTAGTGCAGAGCTAGTTGAATTGGTGTCAGGAGTAGATTATAGACTAAAGCCTGGTGAAATTCATCAGGGCCTTCTACTTCGAGGGTCCTCTTTGCCCCAAAGTTCTATTCCAGGAACCTTCTGAATTGTTTTATCCAGCTATTTACCCCCTTCCCACAGATACACCACAACCTTTACGTTAAAAGTTTCAGAGTAGCAGCCGTGTTAGTCTGTATTCGCAAAAAGAAAAGGAGCACTTGTGGCACCTTAGAGACTAACCAATTTATTTGAGCATAAGCTTTCGTGAGCTACAGCTCACTTCATCGGATGCATAAAGTGGAAAGTACAGACTTTAGTACTTTACAGTACTTTAGTACTGTACTTTCCACTTTATGCATCCGATGAAGTGAGCTGTAGCTCATGAAAGCTTATGCTCAAATAAATTGGTTAGTCTCTAAGGTGCCACAAGTGCTCCTTTTCTTTTTACGTTAAAAGTGTGTCTCAAAGAATCATCGCTTTAAAACTCTCCAGAAACCTCAGGCCAGCTCAGCATATTAAAATTGCAGGTTTCAGCAGGGGAAAGGTGAGGGTCAGCTGCTGCTGAGAGAGAAGAGAAGCAGCCTGACGGTGGGAGGGAGCTGTGATTCTGCAGTGGAGGGAGGAGCTGCTTGCTTTAGAAGAGACGTCTCCTGCTGCCAAGCAGACCTTAGACGTTAGCTACAACACCAGTTAGCCAGGGTGAGTTTTAAAAACCTGGGTGCGTATCAGCCAAATCAGGACTACTAGCACCTATGGCGGTAGCCATCTCTCTATGGGTCAATGTCTGCCTACCCAGCCAAATGACTAAATAAGCACAAGCAGGAGAAAGCCAGGGGCCTCATTTCTCCAACATCCTGCTAAGTCCGCCTCAAACATCAGCCAGGATAATCCAGCTCCCCCGGCCCATCCTCTAAACATACATATACACGCGCCAGCCAGGGGAGACCTCTGACAGGCAGGAGAGAGCCACCACCTCAAAACTCCATGCCCCACTGATCCGCACCCCAGGGACAGAGGCTGCAGGATGACCCACCTACCACAACAATAGCTGATGTGTGGAACTGATAGTAGGGAGGGCAACCATGTAGATGAGTTTTCATGAGGAAGTTGGGAAACGTGGGAGGCTGTGTGTGCAGGTGGAAGGGTTAATGACATAGCATGTGTGGAAAGCATGATATATTTTGGGAAGTTGGGAGAGGAGTGATAGTAACACCATGCAACTCATATAAGGAAGTGTATTTTACCGGGTGAATATCAAGTGTATTGGCTTCTAAGTTGGAAAATTTTAGGAAGCCTCTTGTTAAAATTTTGGCAGCATATAAATGGTTTTATGATGACCATCTGATAAAGGAACAAAGCTGCTCGCAGAATACACCTCCAGCCTATCAAAACTTAAAATGCAGTAGAAAACTAACCAGCTAAAAGAAAAGATGTGCTAAATGAATTTATTTACTTTGTGCCAAACCTAAATCTATGTAAGCACCAGACCTCTACTACACCTCAATTTTTGGAGTGAAGCAATCCTTCAAAAGAATAAAGTTTATATGCTCTTAATGTCCAATAATATTTATAAGTAAATATGTATACAGCATAGTGCTTAAAATGATGCAAAGCACTGTGCAAAGTTGTACTCATAAAACCCCTCTAAAGCAGCTAAATTGCTATCATCCCCATTTTACAGTTGGGAAACTGTGTTTCAGTGACTTGCCCTAGGGCCAAAAGGGAGGTAACCAATCAGGAAACCACAGAAAGCAATTCAATAGGGCTCTCCAGCAATTTATGTAAAAAATCCAGTAGAATTTAATACACTATTGCCAACCCCAAAAGTTCAAAACTCATGAGCCAGACACCCTCCTCCCCACCAAAATAATGAGATTTTTGTTAAAGACTATAGTGTGATTTTTTGTGTGTGGCCTGTCTTCATTTTTGAGCTCCTGCCCATCCGCTGTGTGGCTGTGAGAGAGAGAGACAGTTAGTGTTGCCGGCTCTCCCAAATTTATTGATTAAGAGGATTCCAGCCCACACTGCAAGAGTTCTTGCTGGCTACTTGATCGTGTGGAGCTTCCAGCTGCTCACCAAACCCCAGAATTCTCATTAATTCTGTGTCCTTCCAACCCCATATCTGCCTGTCCCCCAGCCCAACTTTTAATTATGAACCTCACAGCCCCTCTCCCAACTCAGTTCTGTCCTTCCTAGCCCCATCTCTGCTCCCCGTGCAGCTCCTGAGGTCTTTTCACTATGAGCATCTGAGGCTACGGGGGCTTCTCCCTTCCATCCTGTGAGGGTGATGGTGGCTTCTCCCTCTGCCTCCTCTACCCAAAAAAAATCTTCTCAGCTCCTGGAGTAGGGTGACCGATGACAAGAACAAAATATCGAGACACATGGGGGGCAGCCACAGGCTCACCCCCGCCCACCAGGGCCGGCTCTAGGTTTTTTGCCCCCTCAAGCAAAATATCGGGACAAATGGCATCCCAACTGTACATTGGTCGGGACGCGGGACAAACAACTAAATATCGGGACAGTCCTGATTTTATCGGGACGTCTGGTCACCCTATCGTGGTGAGGTGGGGGGGGACGACATGAGGAGAGGTGTGCCTGCCCCCAGATACAGCCCTGATTAGGGAAGGCAGCCAGTCAGAGGGGATTTCCCCAGTCTAGACTGAAATTCAGAAAAGATGCATAGATTCCAGGGGCATTGGGGTTATCTAGGCTGAGCTCCTGTACAACACAGGCCAGAGAACTTCCCCAAAATAATTACTACAACACATCTCTTTAAAAAACATTCACCCTTGTTTAAAAATGGTCAGTGATGGAGAATCTACCAAGACCCTTGGTAAATTGCACCACTGGTTAATTACTCTCACTGTCAAAAATTTATGCCTTATTTCCAGTCTGAATTTGTCTAGCTTCAACTTCCAGCCCTTGTATCAAGTTATACCTTTGTCTGCTAGATTGAAGAGCTCATTATTAAATATTTTTTAACCAGGTACGTATTTACAGACTGTAGTTGTTGCCCCCTAATCTTCTCTTTGTTAAGCTAAATAGATTGAATCCGTGAGTCTATAAGGCCTTTAATCACTTTCGTGGGTCTTCTCTGAATCCTCTTAATTTATCAACATCCTTCTTGAATTGTGGGTGCCAGAACTGGACACAGTATTCTAGCAGCTGTTGCATAAGTGCCAAATACAGAGGTCAAATAACTTCTCTACTCCTGCTTGAGATTCCCCTGTCTATGCATCCAAGGATCACATTAGCCCTTTTGACCACAGCATCACATTGGCAGCTCATGTTCTGCTGATTATCTACTGCAACCCCATAAGCTTTTGCAGAGTCACTGCTTTCCAGTGATAGAGTCCCCCATCCTCTACGTATGATCGAGATTCTTTGTTTCTAGATGTATACATTTACATTTAGCCATATTAAAATGGATATTGTTTGCTTGAGCCCAATTTACCAGGCGATCCAGATCAGTCTGAATCAGTGACCTGTCCTCTTCATTTTTTACCACTTTCACAATTTTTGTGTTATCTGCAAACTTCAGCAGTGACGATTTTTTGTTTTCTTCCAGGTCATTAATAAAAATATTAAATGGCCCTGGGCCAAGAACAAAAGGCGGACTCCACTAGAGACACATCTGTTCGATGATGATTCCCTGTATACAGTTACAGGGAGACATATCCGTTAGTCAATTTTTAAATCTATTTAATGTGTGCCTTGTTAATTTTATACAATTCTAGTTTTTAATGAAAATGTCATGTGGTACCAAATCAAATGCCCCACAGATGTCTAGGCATATTATATCAACACTGTTACCATTATCAACCAAACTTGTAATCTCATCAAAAAAAGGCACCAAGTTAGTTTGTCAAGATCTATTTTCCATAAAACCATGTTGATTGGCATTCATTATATGACTGTCATTTAATTCTTTATTAATCAAGTTGTGTATCAGCTGCTCAATTAGCTTGCCTAGGTTCAAGGTCAGACTGACAGACCTATAATTACCTGGGTC